GAACATAGTGTGATCACTTTGACATTGAATGAATCCATGCATCTGAACCATCCTCAATAATTGATCAAACCATGCATGCAATTATTGCTTATGACTATATATAGATTTTCAAAGCTTGTATACCTTGCCAACATTGAGTTGACTCTTGAGCCCAAAGGGAACATTCATATAGACCTTGATGAGGACATCAGTTCGTGGAAGGTTTATCAGATGCGTGGCCGCCGATTTACGGCCACGATCGAGTCTTTGTACTTTTGAGTTATTTATGTTATTTTCTTATTTATGTATTTTTCTATTTTCAGTGTCATGTATTTGTTTTTCAGTTGTACCCTTTTAGTGGGAGATGTCGTATGTAAGCCCGGAGGGCAATTGTGTCTTTTATTTTCATGAGTCCCATGTACTTGGCTATTTGTAGCCTCATGTTTTATTTTTCAAGGGAATGAATGATTATTATGAGATTTTCCTACACTTGTGTTTTGAGAGCAATTGAGAGTTCTTGGAGAGAACTTTGGAGAGATCCCTAGGAGAGGGAGATCGGATCACCCACCAACCTTGGAGACGGCCGGTTTCGTGGTTTTCTTTTTTTTATCTTTCGTCTTTCCCCTTCCACCTCCATTGTCGAACTTCCTTACATCCAAAAATCATCTCCACCCTCACCTAGCCGCCGGATTTCCCACTTCACCCGAGCCCCTCTCCTTCCCTCTCAACCCCACGGCCAACTCCATACCCAAACCCCTAATGCTACCGGCCCCAATTCCTTAGCCGCTGGCCAAGCCACCCCCCTCTTCCCCATTATGGCCTTGTTTCCTAAATTAGATTAACTCAAATTTGGGCAGATTTGAAATTCAAATTTAATGGATTTAAAATTCAAAATCTTTCCTAATTTATCAAATCTATTTTAGGAAAGTTCTTATATTAAATCCATTTGAATTTCAAATTCAAATTGGATTTATTTAATTACTTTCTTAATCCCTCTAGCTTCTTTAATTAATCCCAAATCACCTCCCAAATCTCCTCTCTCCCCATTAATGCCGCCAGCCCTCCCCCTTGGCTTGGGTTAGGAAATATTTCCTAAACCCCATCCTTGCTTTAGGCAATAAATTCAAACTCCCTAAATTCTCTCTTGGCCGAAATTCCCTCTTTCCCTTCTACTTGATTTCTTTCCAAAGAAGATCCCTCTTTGGAAACAAATCAAATCCCCACCTCCTCTATAAGCCGCCGGCCCCTCTCTCTCTCCAATCCCTCTCTCTCACATTAATTCCTCTCCTAATTCCTTTCCCTTTTAATTTCAAAATCTGAAATTTATTTCAAGATTTTGATATTAAAACATCTCCACCCACATAACCCTAGCGCACGTGTGGCTCTCCTCTTTGGTCGAACCCTTCTACTCTCAATCCCCATTATTTCTTGTGAGGAGCCCTTTTCTCTCAAGAGATCTAGGAGCTTGAAGGACGTCGCCGCCACCACCACACTCAACAAACCAATGCATGGCCGATCCGGAGACTGAATACGGCCTAACATATGACGAAGATGATTTCGTCGGCATTCTTCAATCGACCTTCTTTGACGTCAACACAAGGGTCGATCACACCGTCGAAGAGTACATCGAACGTATTCTGGATACGTTGGTAGAGGCAATTGACGAGCACTTTGAAGGCATTGAGTGGAGGATCTCCACCGAACCGTGACAAAGGTTCTCTTTTTCCCTTTTCAATATCTTTCTTAAATCTAACTTTATCTTGTGCTTGATTGTAGTCGCGAAGGATGATTCTCCCTGCTTCTACTAAGCTTAGTAAACGTAGGGTTTTGAGTGTTACTTTATGCTAATTAATTCTCATTGTTAGATTAGGGATTGTATTGAAACTACTATTTCAGCATAAAGTGATTTACTAATTTATTTTGAAAGTTTTTCAACTCTCTGGTTATGTGATTTAGCCTAAGCGGGCATGACCCCTTATTCGTTTTATTTCGTTGTTTTGAGCTGCTATTAGTTCTTCATTTTATTTTAATCAAGAGTTGTGCAAATTCCTAATGAATTGATTGCATTCATACGTAGTCCTGCATCGGACCTCTTCGAGATCACCATTTAAAAAAGTTGTAGACTAGTTTTGTTGCGAGGGATATAATACACGAATGAAGTTAAGTGTAACAACTAGAGCAAATGCATCCTCATAGTTTATCCCTTCAGACCAAGTGAAATATTTGGCCACGAAATGAGCTTCAATCTGTTCACACTTTCATTGATATTGTGCTTAATGGAGAAGATCTACTTTCATTTGATTGTTCTCTCTCTCGTCTGCCATTTCTTTCTAGGGATTTTGTTTCTATCATTACAACGCACTTCCATTATGTTATTCAAGAGCTCTTTGAATATTATTTGAAATTTGAACTTCCATTGATGATGTAATATAAGGCATGATAGATAGAAGCTTACTAGTCATATGACACAAAGTTACTGATAATAGGATGCTTAGTACAAGATCTACTATCATTCTTGATTGCAATAGATTGATCAAGGTCATATAAAGTTTGATCATTAATTTTATTACTATTTGAAGTTTAGAGTTCTCCAAAGTTTATAATAATGTTTCGGTGTAAGAGGTGCTTGGATCTCTGTTCTTTCTTTCACTTTTAGCCTCTTGGAGTAAATCATTTCCTTATTGGTGGCATTGTATGTGGATTATGAAGGGTGACAGCTAGTTTTAAGGACCATGTCCTTTGGAAGTATAGATCTAGCGATAACTATCGTAGATAGGGATCCATCTACAATTTGACTGCTGAGGTTTATAGAGTATGTTTTATACTCATAAAGAATCATAGTATCACCAGTCATTTGACCAAAAACGCCTGTGTTGACAATGCAGGATCCTAGTTTCCATATATAACCATGAGAGTGTTTAGAGGTTTTTTTTTTCAGCAATGAAAGCTGAGATCGCAAAAGATCTAGTGGCTTGAAAGGTTTGTTGAGACTTTGGTGGTTATAGCAATTTTTGAAGGAATTCAATTTGTTCTTTGTTGACACTGATATGAATTTCCGCTTTGTGATGACAATATTGATATGAATTTCACAATTTGTGCTGTCTTTATTTGTACTCAATGGTTTTTTCATGCATCTTCCAATAGTTTTCACGAGTATCTTGTCTTGTGATGATGGTTTGAATCTTTTTTTCTATCACCTTTATGGTTGAATTGGATCACTTGAGTTGCAAGTAGGTGCTTCTTTTGCTGCCGACCATAATATGGGATGGGGGACGGTAAAGAAAAAAATAAGTGGAAAAAATACGAGAAAGAGTTAACGAAATTATTCTGATACCATCTACAAATATATGGAATATTTCATTTGCATAGATAGTGTACAAGCTAGGTCTAAATATAGGAGATGATCCATGGTTTTCTCATGGATTGTAAAAATATCATCCTAAATAGAAATAATTAGAAAATGAACATAGTAAGAGATGATTTAAATATTTATGTAAGAGATGATTTAAATATTTAAATTTAGATCTTTATTATATTTAATGATAGACAAAGAACGAGCAATGCTATGGATTGGTGACGTTGATGAAGTAATCTTAGAATCCTCCAGGACGTATGCATGGACGATATCAAACGGTAAGTAGAAAGATCAACGGACGCTGTAGTATATGGGACATCAACGGCATGTAATAAATATTTTTTTTTTTGAATGTTGTTTCTCGCCTCAACAAACAACAAAATGAATAGCAAATGGCCTTTAGATAATCAAAATGAAAACATGCTTGATTGGGAACATGGTAAAAAAAGAAACTTGAGAAGGCTTTAGAGGGTGAAAATATGAATGGGAGAGATGTATAGAAAATAGAATCCATCAACCTTAGGTGATTTTTCCCCATCTAATCTTCATCAGGGTCATGATCCCAAAAAAATAATTGAAATTAAAAATACCCAGGGTAATAAAAAAATTTGCTTACTAGTTGATCATTAAAAAAAAAAAAAAGTTCAGGAAACATCCAGCTACCCAAAAGAACATAAAAACAAAGAAAAAGTTGTTCAAACAAAACAAAATGGAGAAAATTCAGAACAGGAATTTGAGAGAAATTAAATGTGAGAAGCAGAGGAAAGTCTGGAAAGGAAGAAACTATCAACTGAGGTTAAAACGTCAACTGAGCAATGTTTTTCTGAGTTGGAGTGCCATGTCAAGAAATGGGCTGTTCAAATGAGCAATCATTGTGAAGTTGTTCAGTTTTATTCAATGCTGAATCCAATGTTTGACTAGTTCTTATTGAATGACAAGTTTTTACTGTTATACCATGAACTTAGAATTGATCAAATACAGTTTTTTAAATGAAAATTTTAAACTAGTTTTGACTTTATACAGAGGCTGACAGTTATGTAGTAAACTTACAGAGGTTAAATGACCAACTAAAAGCAGTAGGCTTAGGGTTCGTTTGGGACGGCTTTCTTATTGCTTTTTAAGACAGTTTTTTAGTAAAAAATTAAAATTTTTGCACTAGAAAGCTACTTTAAGAAGCAGTAAAAATGCCGTCCCAAACAAACCTTAGTTTATACTAAATCACTATAAATTATGACCAAGAGCTTTCGTTATTATAGCACAATAATTACATCAGTGTAGATCACTGCTTCGGGAAACTCTCAATAGACATCCTTGCAGTAAGTTTGTCCTGTAAATTTATTTCTTATTTGTATATTCTTTCCTCCTTATTTGTAATATTAAGAACCAAATGTCTAAAATTCTCTTCAGTGCTATTAATGCTGTATTCCTAATTTTTGTCACAAATAATCTATTTGACATGAGTTGAGGCATTTTTAAGTAAAAGCATGATTGAAGAAGTTTTTTCAACCTAGCAAGAATAATGGCCAGCTCAGTTCTTGTAAGTTCGACTAGAGCTTAATATATGTAAAAATATGCAATTTTTTTACATTTGTTTATTTAAATATATATGTAATTTCAGCTGTCTGCACCATCGACTCTTATAACTGTAGTTTATTTTCTTTTCCAGTGTGATCTTTTGTGAGGCTGTTGCTATATATGGAGTTATTGTTGCCATCATTCTCCAAACCAAGTTAGAAAGTGTACCATCTTCACAGATAAATGAACCTGAGTCTCTTAGAGCTGGTTATGCCATCTTCGCTTCCGGCATCATCGTTGGCTTCGCAAATCTTGTTTGTGGGTATGATTTGATTCCAGACTTCTATGATCTTAATACTATAATTTAAATTCATCAAAATTAAACGCAGACACCCACCGCGGCTTAGCTCAGGTGGGGGGAGCTCGGCTGGGCAAAGTCCAGGTCCCGGGCTCGAATCCCTTGGGCGGCCGTGATAGTCTTAAGTGTTGACCTAGGTAAATGGTGTGGGTTGCCTACTAGGTCGACCGGGGTTTATTGACCGCGAAGCGGAGGGGTTCCTCGTCACTAAAATAAAATAAACGTAGAGTTGCCAGATTTGAAAAGTAACGTCTTCCTGAAACAGGCTCTGCGTTGGAATAATTGGAAGCAGTTGTGCGCTGTCTGATGCCCAAAATTCCTCACTCTTTGTGAAAATTTTGGTGATTGAGATCTTTGGCAGTGCGCTTGGCTTGTTTGGAGTGATCGTGAGCATAATCATGTCGTCTCAGGCAACCTGGCCTGCGAAATCTGGATGATGAGCATTCTTTCAAAAATCATCTGCCATCCAATCTTCAAGGTTTCTTGTAAACATTTTCTCTTAAATACTTGTGTAAGATTTACCTGAAGCTGTTTGTAGGGACTCTGTTAAATTATTCCTGCACTCTTTACGCTTCACTCAGCTATGTTTGCTGCGTTGGTTTTAAATGTTATATCAGTAATGGAAGATGAGATTTTCTGTACCCTCTAATTCATGGAAAATTATTAGGTGCAGACACCGGACATAGAGATATGTCCGGGCATCCACTTAACATTTAACATGTGGAGTGGATACGGTGGATTTATTTTTTATTTTATATATTTAACGTGTTTGCAAAAAATGGAAGATGAGATTTTTTGTACCCTCTAATTCATGGAAAATTATTAGGTGCAGACACAAGACGTAGAGATATATTCGGACATCCACTTAAAATTTGACATGTTGAGTGGATACGTTGGATTTATTTTTTATTTTATATATTTAACGTGTCTGTGGAATTTTAAGTCAAGCGCAGGTAAAGTGCAACTAAAGCACAATAAAAGAGTAGTCAAAATGTAACTAAAGCGTCGGTAAAGCATAAGTAAAGCACCGTAAAAAAGGGCAACAAAGGAGCAGTCAAAGAACAAATAAAGTGCAGGTAAATTGTAGATAAAGCACATAAAAAGCGCAATCAAAGTGTATTTCACATGTCAAATTTTTAGTGGATGTCTGGATGCGCATCTCTACGTCCGGTCTCCACATCTAATAATATTCTCTAATTCATGAGCTATTTAATAAAGTATGGTCTTTAATCACCATTAGTATTTTGGTTTAGCTTATTGAGCCATACAATTGGACGTGTTTATACTACAACGGGACTAGAAACAAGAGAAGTCTCTTAGCGATTATGTATTAATAACAATTAAAAATTAGTCCCATTTTATTACCATATCATTAGCAACAAATGCTGTCACATAGAATTCATGTAATCATTGAAGAATTTAAAAAGCTAAGTAGAAGAAGACTCTTGCCAACAACATTTAATTTTGATTATACACTCAACTCTGTACTTAACAAAATATCTACAATTAAGATTGATTTGTATGTAATTTTTATTTTATACTAATATTATATTTTTGCTAAGTAATTTTTGTAGAAAGATGACTTTAAGGTGATGCCTTTGCCCAAAACTAAAGTGGTAGGAGCAAATGAGTGTTTATTATTTTTTTTTCAGAAATCCTAGATGACTTATAATGGCTAGGCATGGTCATAGGCTTGTGAATCAAAACACACAAAAATCACTATATCTCTAATCTATATACTTCACTATAAACAATCCTTTTATCATCACAAATAGCGTTTAAAACTTAGCTTTAGCCTACAAAAATTTTTAAACAGTCTAATTCACTTCCCTCTTGGGCTACATATTACTTAACAGCTGATATCCGAGCCTTAACTTTATTATTGGCTTCGCATCCAAAAGTTAGTTTTCTAAAATTTTTATGAATGGTGTAGAATCATCTAAAGTTATAGAAGAAAGTTTTTATGTAGAGTTTAGTGTGTTAATATGATGACTATATGAAGCATGGAACCTGAGAGCTGGTAAAGAGATTTAGGACAAATTAGTAATTAGTTATGAAGGATTAAATATGTATGTGAAACTATTGGAATAACAAGGTCTATAGGAGATCGTGGGGTTGTTTATCTTAGAAAAATAACTTGAGCCCATGTTTGACTAAGTTACTAAGGTCTTGAGCAACTTTGGGTCATTCTAGGGTTTAGTATAGGGCAACTAAGATAATAAGAGTTTAAGGGTTCAAAGAATACTAAAAGGGTCCTAGTACCACTAATATGTAATATGGTGTAGAGTAAAAGATCCTAGTGCCTCTAAGGCAAAATATTAAACAAGAGTGCACTAGGATAAGGATCAAATCTATAAGACTTATGGTGGGTCTAAAGCTAACCTACTCCAAAAAAGATGTTAACAAATATATTATATTTTAGGGGATCTTGAGTGTAAGGTTATGTGCTTATTCATGGAGGCAGTTGAAAGTTTTCCTTGTCTCAGAAAGTGTTTATAACTATTATGTATGGGACACCCATAATGAAATGTAAATAGGGGTACTTATTTATTAGTGTAAACTCATTTCTAAGTAGAGTTTGGGAAGTCAAAGGGCTTTCATGTTCTATAGATTTGCTTACAACAATAAATAAACATGTGCTCCTGAGAGAGGGCAACATTTGTAACCAATAATAAATATTAGTAAAATCATGAAAATTGGCTTGCATCCCATAGTTGCTTTTCTTTTTTATATTTTTCATGTATAAACTATGATATCTCTTACAACTTTTTTTTTTAATCTGTGTGTATTAGATCTTTGTAGTATACTACGATAATAAATTATCTAGCAGTACCACCAATATTTTAGCTTGCAATATTCATATATAAAAATTGGAGGGCAACATTTGCTTCAACCACAAAAGTTTGTTCACATTAAATATGTTAAGCATGGTTATAGTGTCATATATAATTTTGCCAACTTTAAAAAACATATGCCAAGATTAGGGGTGAACTTAAATTACAATGTCAAATGAATAACATCCCAACCATGGAGCCATAAATGTCTCACTTCTATCATCCATTATTACATCAATTTAATGTGGAAGCAGATATGGGTAAGGGGACAATCTTGGAAGTAACCTTGAAGAAACATTCAGATTAAAATCTCAGGCATGATTATAGCCAAGCAAATCCTTCTATAAATATTTTTATATGCATTTAAGGAAATTTATTTGAAAAACCATTTTTAGCAAATATGATATTTTTTTCGAGAAGTCTCAAGTGAATGTCAAACTTATACACAATCCTCATTTGGACTACTACTTCGTTGGTAAGATCAAAGCTATGACCTCAAGATGGCAGTAACTGTAATAACCTTATTTGAAAAACAAAAATTGGGATCCAAGAGGAAGCACTATGGTGCCTGTAAATGCCACCATGGCGGTGAAGGCTCTGTTATGCAATAACTCTAGGATTTACATGCAGTGCAACGATGCTGGAAAGTTAGTCGCCGCTATGCTGGGAAGTTAGGCATCGTGTTGTTGGGCACTGAATCAATTTTTTAATATATTTAATATAAATATCCCTCATCACCTTCCTTTTATCCCCTTATTCATTTGGCTTGCTGGGGGAGAAAAGAAAGAAGAAAGAGAAGAGAAGGGAGAGATAAAAGGAGATGGAAAGCTCTCCAAGGAATATTCATCTGCCACTCCTATTATAAAAAATATTTTGATAGTAGTAAGTGACATATACTCTATTTTTATTTTCAATGATTTTGAGTTTGATATATTTCTCTCCTAAATGTGATAAAAATATGATATCTCCCTTTCTAGGAAACTTTTACCATTTAATTTTTGGTATGCGATAACTATCATTATTATGAATATTTTGACTAGTTTATATGAAACTTTCACTAGATAAATTGATAGTTAAAATTTTCTAAAGTTAATGAATAGTTTATCGATTCCCCTGCATTTCAATATTATTGTATTTTATACATGAAGTTGAATATTAACTTGGATATAGAAAATGATAAGATTGATCTATGGATGTATTTGCATGTAAGCAAGAAATAATATTTATCAATACTATACTTAATACAAGTTAGCTTTTAAAATATTAATACCATGTACATGAGGGTGGTCAACAAGTTTTTCATAAAATAAAATATTTATGGTGTAATCCTAATTGTAGTCTATAACTGATTGACTGAATGACACTGACATGTAGAGAGTAATGACTCTTAATAATTTAATGAAAGTCGCCTATGAATTGATTTAAGGATTATGAATGTTTATGGTAATATAAAGACTGATGATGAAATGGTTAATAATTGGGTTAAATTAAAGACTAAAGATAAATTAGTGGATAATTGAGGTTAAAGATATTGAAAATACTAAATAAAAGATGGATGTCCTGCATTGTTGAATTCAACATTAATAAGCATATATGATAATATATATAATTGCACATATGATGTGATATATACAAAAATGACATATATGAATGATGATAGATTAGACAAAGGATAGATATGATTGATGATTGATAAGTCTGACAATTGATAAGACTGATGGCACATAAGATATGATATACAATAATTGATTGACTAATAACATGAGTAATTGATCACATGATCGACATATAGCTAGGTTGAAAGGGTTTTGATATGAACTTGTGATATGTTATAAGGATATGAATGATATAATATGATAAGATTGTATATGAATTGCATGATATATTAACTTCTACATATTCCTATAGTTACATGTTTGCTGCTTCTATTTGATGCACTGACTTTAGTTGTAGATATTGGTTATTTGTTGGGCTATGTGCTTATTATGTGATTTTTACATGTTTTTTGACAAGGGTAAGAATTTTATAGATTGAAGTCATTCTGGGCTGATGGCTGGAGCTTCTTTATGCATCTATTGGTCTTTCTTTTTTTTCTTGTAGTCATGATATATTTATCATAATAAACTGGTTGTAGTGGCTGAGTATTATGGTTATTGTAAATATATTATTTTGGGCTTGAAATAATATAAATATTTAATATTAATGCATTAAAGGTTCCCCAATTCATGGAATTTTTTTAGCTCTGGTTAATATGTAAAATGTTCATAATGATGTAATTCGTCCAACATTAGATCATAGAGCGTCATAATAACATTCTAAAGAATGACCAATATTCACCTTTCATTCATGATGCATATGGCATTCATAGGTATAATTGATCCCAAGGGGATTCAATTCAACGTCTTCCATGCATGTTAATGTCATCGAGTAATGCTCCAACATATAATCTTAAGTAACTGAAATATAATTGGTGGATTTCTCTTGACTCATCTTCACATGTTAATATTATTAATACTATGAAAATAACCTTAAAAGGTTAAATATATTTGGTGGATTTTTCTTAACCTCTTCCACATAGATTAATATTATCGAGTAGATGCTTTTAAAAATCATCTCAAATAAACTAAACATCCTTACAGGATTGCTTTGGATCTCTTACATATGGATTATCATTATCGAGTAGCACTCTAACATAACCTCATATAGGTCGAATAACATCGATGGATTTATCTCGACCACTTTCATACATGTTAATATCATTGAATAATATTCTGATAAACAATCACAGGCATATTAAACATCTATACTGGATTTCTTTTAAAATCTCTCACCACATGTTAAGAATTAAGGTGTCACCTTACCAAAAAAACGCAAGGAAGTCATAATTTCAAAAAGAATTCATCATGACCTCCTTAACACATATAAGAAGCTTGGTTAAAATTACATCATTGATAAAATTTGTCACTATCATGATAAAATATTATTCATGCTTATACATCGAAGAAAAGAGATGCATGCGTCAACATGGCTTAGTCCCCTGTGGGGGGGAAGTTCTCACAATATCGGATCACAATAACACAAGATTAAGATTTCATTAGATATCATTACTTTTAATTACTTGATTAAGAACACCAGCCAAGCTTATATATAATATGATGAAACATATATTTATGGATTGCATAAATAAGAAGTCTTATTTCAATGTTGCATATAAAGCCATTAAAAATAGATAAAGCTATCACATTAAATTTGATTTATTTATAATTGGATTTGAGAAGTCAAATTCCAAGGTATCAACATTGCTCTGGGAGCCTCGCGATGCTAAGATAAGTGGCATCGCGACATTGTGCTCTTGAGTGGGGAGGTGAAATTGAGGGTACGATGCTGCGCTAGGTGGCACCGCCAATATTTCCAATGTTGGGATTATAGGAGAATTTGGAAGATTCTTTGGGAGCGTTGTGGCACTGTGGAGGCTAGCATTGAGGCACTAAACTAATTGGTAGTTTTTATATAATTAAAATATCTTAAACTATTAACTAATTCACCCAAAACCACCAAGTAATCTTATTGGAGAAGGCATGAGGAGAAGAGAGGAGAAGAAGAGGAGAGAATTTTTGGAGGCCAAAACTCGTGTTTCATCCTTCAGGCCATTTAGGAGTTCCGTAGAGCACGAGGTAGACTTTTGAACCGCAATATCCGATTTAAATTCCAATGGTTTTATTAAAAATTATGAATAAAAAAAAATATTTCTCTCACGTTTTATGATGTTTTCATTGTATAATTTTGATATGTTGTCATATGATTTATACTAGTAATGTGCATTTTAATATGCATTTCTTACATTATTATATGCTACATTGAATTTCTAATTTAGTTCATGTTGCATTTGCATTTGAATTATTCATAGCATGATATTGGTGATATTCTAATGTGTAAAAAAGTATACTATTTGATATGTTACAAGGGTCATACATGGTCTGTTCTGGCCACATCTGTTTAGTATTGGTGTGGGAGGAATTCTGGCCCAGTTGCTAAAAGCAGGTGTAGGAGATTATGTGGCACCGTTCTATTATGATTTTGACCCCACTTACTAGAGGCAGGTGTGAGAGTTTAAAGGAAGACATAAGTGAAAGTAGGGTTATAAGTAGGCATCAAAACATGTGTATTTTAATTATTTTCTTGTAGATGTTAATGTTTTTATAAATTAAGTATAAATACTATGTTGAGCATAATTTTAATAATTCTTGAAATTATGAATGAACCCCAATGAAATGTAAGAGTAAAGTGCGTGTGAACCTTTGATAGCAAGTGCTCTATGATGCATATGAATCTTCAAAACCCTCTATGAAAGTGGCTTCTAAGATGCAAATCAGGACTTGAAATCACAAGTCTGGTTTTGTTATTACTTTAATTATTCTTCACAATTTATTGTATTTATTTTAATTAATTAACTACTATATAATATTTTAATTTAAATATTGATATTTGTGATGAGTTTGAGATAAAAGTCTTCCGAGCTAGTTATGCTTATCCTATAATAATTTTTTTTAATTTCAAGGAAAGATAAATGATCTAGCAGAATAAAAAGATAAAGAGGTACAATATTCTTCTAAGCCTAAGTGATTGAGGTACTCTCTTGTAATCCAGTTTTAAATTCTACTCATGTATAAATGATTGAAAGTTCATTTTCAACTATTTTATTATTTGGATTTTATATTAGCTCTCCTTGTCTCTATTGATGGTTGAGTTGTTTAATTATAAGATTAAGATTTCAATCTTCCACTACATCCTAGGGCATCATATCATCATAGGGACTAAAAGTCTTGATTACATCTAAATTTAGTCCTCCTAACATGGATAGTCAATGCTTATTTCAAAGGAGGATCGTAGATGTTGAGGATGAGGAGTAAACGCGCCACAATGACGAAACAAGCAAGAAATTAAAAGCAGCAAAAAATATGAAGGATATCAGGATTTAATGTGGTAAAACTCAGAATAGGGAAAAAAATCATAGAGCCACACCACATCAAGAAATCTACTATGAAAATTGAGAGAAATAAATGCAAATTTCTCTTCTCTCTCACTCTCTCCCTACTTCTCTTCTCACATGCACCGTTTTCAATGTCTAACATATTAAAAATACAACCGAAAGCCAAGTAAATAACCCCAAGGGACTCAATCCCTTAGAAAAATAAGAAAGAAAATAATCTAGTTTGTCTCGAGTCTCGCAACACCAGTTTCGGTCGATATGGCGTTCAAACCTCTATCTTGATCCGCTGTGGCGTTCCGCTCTATGCTGTTCAATGCTGGGGCGCTCAGGAACACAACATCGGGGCGCCAGGATACGCAGCGCTCGGGTATACAGCGCCAGGACATTGTACGGGAAAAAAATTTTTTGGTTGCAGCCTAAGTAGGGGTAAACCCCATGCACCCTCAGTGAGCATGAGAAACTTGAGGTCTGAGGCAATAAAACAACCCGATTGATCAACACAATCAGATTCCACACATAACAGGAGCCTCACTATTAGCACTGAAAGTCTTTATTGACACAAAACATGGTTTATCCAACGAGGGCAATTAACATCTTTTTCATGGGAGATTAGAGCCTCACCATAAGAATTATGGGCCTAAATTGCCTCAAATAGTTTTTAAGCTTGTTTTATACATTTTCCCCCCATTTTTCACTATAGAGAATTGAATCTTGATTGCCTCCAATGATTTTTACACTCTTGTGAGATAATTATTCTCAACTTTATAGGGGATAACTAGAGTCTAAGTAAGAAAACTATGCATATCCCCTATCCTTAATATTGTATTCATATATCTACAATAGGAGGTAGAGGGAAAATTCAGAGTGAAATTTGCAAATTTTTAAAAAATTATCAAAATTCTTCAATTTATACATTATTTTCCTTTTAAAATAGAGGAAAAACAACAAATCTAAAAATAATTAATTTTTCATTAAGATGCATGCACATGGAGCCCTACATGCAAACTATCAATAACAATGGTTGCATCCTACATAAACCACTCTGAGCCTACTTCCGAGCATGGACAAGACTATTTCAGAATTTTTATGGTGGTCGAGATTATTTTTTATGCTCTGAACTCAATTTTGACACTTTCTGGGCCCCATAGAGCCTATTCAGTTAATTCTAAGTAATTTGAAAATTTTTATAGGAAAATTCCCCCATATTTTTTGCTCCAATGGACGTATTGATTTCATAAAAGGCTAAAATTATAACTAAAAAGATTTTATATGGTCCATGACCATGAGAGAAGTTCCACATTGATGTTTATGGAGTATTCATTCCTCTTTTTTTTTTTTTTTTTTTTTTTTTGAAATTATAATTTTGCACCGCTATTTTTTTAGAAGACTTAAACTTCATATGACATTAGCTTTGATGTCTGAAATTAGGGGGCAAATTATACATCATTGAAAATCAATTTGACCAAGCATGAATCTCCATAGATATTTAAATAGAAAGATATAGGTCCCAACTCTTTATATGAAGAGGGGTTGGGACCTTGGTTTGAGATTCAAGAGAGATTAGAGGATTAAAAAATATTGGAGCTCCACCGCTTCACTATTATTGTCGGACCCCCTCCCGACCAACGTCACCAGACCTTCACTTGACTACCATCGTTGGACCAATGCATAACCGCTATCACCTGACTATCGCTAAACCTCCATCTTCAAACCACTAATCGATCTATATCATATCACTACCAGATCACTATCCCAAGACCACCTCCGAACTACCACAGTTGCCTGATTACAGTCCTCAAACCATTTTTGCCCGACTATGATTGTCTAATTGATGTCGACTAACTGCTTTGACCATCGACACTTGACTATAGTCATTCGATCACCATCGCCGACTAAGATCCTCTAACCTCATTTTCCTGGCTACAGTCATCTGGCCATTGTTATCTAACTACAGTCTTCCAACTACAGCTCTCTAAACATCACCACCTTACTTTGATACTCCGACCATCGCCATTAGACTATGACCCTCCAACCATTGTCATCAAACTACGTTCCTCCGACCACTACCACTAACTACAATCCTCTAATCATTATCGCCTAATTGTAGTCATTCCACTATTGCCGCTTAACTAAGTTCTTCTAATCACTGCTGCCAATTGCAAACCTTTGACCATCATCACTCGATTGTTATCATTTGATCACTAATACTCAAGTGCAATCCTCTATCCATCACTTAAATGTTAATGCATGCTTTCGGCATCACCTTTGACTTCGGACATCAATATTAGTATTTATTCTTGACATATTAGTCTTTGATATCCCCTTCTTGAAGGAGTATGATCAAACAAATAAGCAAAACAATATCTCAAATCATAGAACTCTTCTAACTTCCATTAAGTAATACATTTTTTATATAATATGTTTACTTCATTAAAACAACACCTTTCTTCAATGATAAACACTAATTGAATCATTTCAATAATGTTGGGTCTCTTAATTTTTCCTTTTTAACAAGTTTTTGATAAACTTATTTATATATCTCACAACTCTTATTTTATTTATTTGTGTAATGCATAATCTTATAATATTAAAATATTAATTTCTTTAATTCAACCACTACAAATGTCCTGAGTCGCAACAATAAACAGAATTTTATCCAAGCGGTTCTTACAAGCAACTGTGGACAAACATAACATGACGATCTCGTTGTATTAAGCAACAGATTGTTTTTCGATTTCGTCCAAATAAACTGGTTCATGAAAACCACAAGGATTACGCCAGTTGAGTCAACAAGGGAGAGTGAAGAACTCCTCAGTCAGCTAAGTTTCACGCCGCCGCCGCCGCCTCATCCTGCAAGCCTGCTGTTGACAATAAACCATGATCCAAGAAACAAGGTCGTTCCTACTCGATCCACTTTCTAGGGTTTTAATTCTTTCTTCTTTCCTTTCAACTTCGATTCTGCGCTGTGTCTTAAAGTTGACATCTTGAGAAAGGTGAAGCATTTCTCAGTCTAGTCTACAATTGGCCGTCGACTCCTGCTTCCCGTAAACCCTTACCAAAGCAGTAAGGTCCGTTCTTTTCTAAGTTCCGCTTACTAGTGTTTCCCCTCTTTCTTCGTTTCCTCTTGTCTCTGATTCTAATATCGTGCCTTCCCCTCAGAACCCTAGTTCATAATGTCGCACAGCAATAAACTGTCCAATCTGTCTCTGCTCAATTCAACCTGTTTAGGCTAAAAAGTTCGAATCTTTCTGTGCGAATGTGGATGATTGTTATTTCGATTGATAAAGATGACTCTTTTATATGAATTCTAAACTTTTGATTTCATTCGATTCGTCTTTATGTGCTGTGCAGATCGATGGAGTACACTTCAAGTGAGGATGATGAGCTTATAGAGGACTACGTAGATCTAGAAGAAGATATCATGACCTCTGACGTCGAGCAACAGGCCGGGGAAGTTGCTGCCAGCCTTCATTTCTTCAACCACCAGGATAATTCTTTGTCTTTAGTCCATACCATTGGAAATGAGCTCATTGTATCCGAGGCAGATGTGAAGAGTCAGGACCCTCATCTAGGAATGGAATTTGAATCTGATACTGTTGCCAGGTTGTTTTACAATGCTTATGCGCTACGCCTAGGGTTTGGCATTCGGGTCGCGAGGTCGCGCAGCGAGAGACGAAAGGGGATTGAGGTTTTGGTCATGAAGAGATTTGTTTGCTTGAAGGAAGGCCATCACAAAAAGAAGGTCACCGAATTGGCTAACAAAAAGAAGAGGAAGCGTCTCTCTATAAGGGATGGATGCCCGGCGATGATGGAGGTGGTTCGCCGAGGTGCAGATAGATGGGTTATTACTAAATTAGTGTTGGAGCACACCCATGTCGTTGTTAGTCCAGATAAAGTGCGTGAGATCCAGCTTAACCAGTTGACAGGGAAGGATCGGGAGCATGAAAACTTACTAAGAGAGATGAGGCAGAAGATTTTTGGGGAAGGAGGTGCCCAGGGCCTCCTAGAACATTTCAAGAAAGTCCAAGCTGAGAATTCTGGTTTTTTCTATTCAATGAATGTAGATGATAGGAATTGTCTGGCTAACATATTTTGGGCTGATTCAAGAGCTCGAATTGCTTACAAGTACTTTGGTGATGCGGTTGTATTTGATACAACATACAAGAAGAATGAGAATATGATGCCATTTGCTGCATTCAGCGGTGTCAATCACCATCTACATCCAGTTAATTTTGGATGCGCTTTAATAATAGACAAGACTGAATCCTCTTATGCTTGGTTGTTTGAGACTTGGTTAACCGCAATGTCGGGACGCCATCCAATCTCGTTAACCACCGATCAAGGCAAGGCCTTGGGGGCTGCTGTCGCCAAGGCATTCCCTACTACTCGCCATAGGATCTGCAAATGGCGAGTCTTATCTAGATGCAAGAAGAAGCTCGCCGATGTTTACTCCAGGTATCCTAATTTGCCAGAAGAGCTCAGAAAATATGTTTTGGAGTGTGAAACATCTGATGTGTTTGAAGCTTGTTGGAAGCTGGTTCTTGATAAGTATAATCTCAGAGAGAATTCATGGCTACAGTTAGTATACAATATTCGTAACAAATGGGTTCCTGCATATCTGAAGGACTCATTCTTTGCAGAATTACACACCACTCAAAGATCAGAAAGTATAAACACTTTCTTCCGAAAGAACTTTGACACAAAGATCTCTTTGCAAGCTTTCATCTCTAAGTTTGATCAAGCCATGGATAATCGTTATGAGAAGGAATTGCAGGAAGATTTTGATGCATTGCGTTCCCAACAGATTCTGAAGACAGACTCACATATGGAGAAACAAACAGCCGGCATTTACACGAGGGCGGTATTCGAAAGATTTCAGGCAGAATTAGTTGAAGCCTTGGATCACTACACAGAAAAAATTCAAGATGGTGCTATCAGCAAATATACCGTCGAAAGGCATGGAGATGATCATATTCATAGAAGGCACATTGTTGCTTTTAATGAGTCGGAGAAGAAAGCAGTCTGTACTTGCTACAAGTTTGAATCCTCAGGCATATTATGTAAGCATGTTCTTGTAGTCTTCTTTTTCAACGGTGTAGTTTTACTTCCAGAACATTATATTCTGAAGCGGTGGACGAAGAAGGCAAAGAGTGGAATTGTCTTTGATGAAGGCGATGTGGAAACTCAAAGTTACTGTCAAGAATCTCCCACTTTAAGATATCATGATATTTTCCATGATGCTTTAAAGGTTGCAGAGAAGGGAGCAGCATCAATAGAGACTTATAAGTTTGCAAAAGAAGTGCTACTTAAAGCTTTTTCAGAAATTGCTGGCCTCGAGGAAGAGGTGCTCAGACATGGATATCAACATGTCTGAAGCTTTCCTTTGTTGCATTTCCAATATCCACTGCTCTGAAAGAACTTTGTGGTTGCAGACATCATGTTTTGATCTGTTGCTTCAAGAACTGAGCCTGAGGTTTATTGGGCAATCTCAAGGAAAACTGTAAGCTATTGAATGATGCACTTAAGAGGGCTTGATATTTCTGCGGTGCAGGAACCAGCTCTTTATAGATATGGTGAGTTGAAATGGTTTGCTTTTACGAGTTCTTCATCTTCCCTGAGAAGAAGATGCTGTAAATATTTTTAGAATTACAATTTTCTTTTATAAGCTGCTATTATCATCTACTGTTATTTATGAACTGTAACTCCCCTTTTTATTATTATATTACTTGGCAGATCCTATTCTGGTTGTAAAACAACTTTGTACTAGTGGCATTTAATTCCTTCATGAGTAACCTTGCATTTCCTTTTATTTTTTTCCAATGCAAGGATCATTTCCTGCATGCTGGTACTGATATTTTTGGTTTTTGATTGGCTTTAAGAGTTTCAGGCAATTTGATAATTTTAAAAAAGTTCCAAAATTTAAGAGTGTCATCTGAAATGCCTTGATTTAAAATTAGACTTCACTGAAACTGTAAAGTAATCATTTATAATCTAATTAAAAAAAAAACTTTTTTTATTTAATTATGTAATTTAAGATATTTTATAAAAACTGATTGAAATAAAAACCTATGTTGTTGCACGTTGCACCATCTGATTTGTTATCAGCGACAATAAACAAGTGGAAAAAAAATAGCTTCAAGAAGGCAACACAGTATTCTAATAGGACAACAAGATGAATAATTAAAGAAATGTCACAGCTGCTTACCCCTGGTTTTCACAAAATGATTCTTCAATAAAATGCTCAAAAAATGGGAGGGAAAATAAATCAAATAATCGTTGTAGAGGACCAAACACTATGGAACAGTTTGGCTTTTCACCTAGCAACATCTCTCTGAATGTGTAGTTTATACTTTGAACATGTCTGGTTGGCTCTGGTTGGTTGCATAAATACGTGTAGATTAAGGCTTTCGTTTGGGACGGTTTTCTTACTGTTTCTTAAAAGAGCTTTCTAGTAAAAAAAAAATTATTTTTTTGTTATAAAAAGCAGAAAGAAAGTCATCTCAAACGAAGCCTAAAAGGAATGCAAATAAAATGTATATAATTTACTGCAAAATTGTTTTTACTTACTTTGAATCAGCCCATCATTAAATATAATCTTCTGATACCATGAATTTATCTCTGATCTGGGAGTCTGGAGCCATGGAATGCAAATTCAGATTCAAGGCTGCATGCACCATCCCCTCTCCAGATCGGTGTGATGGTGGGATCTTCATGCTCTGATATGTGATTTATATCATGCATTTCTATCCACCATTCTGCTACTTACACAAACGCCCATCTCTTCCATTTCCATGATTCTGCTCAAACCATTCAAAACTGCATAGATCACAGTAGTCTCAGGATGTTCACTATCATCAACGATGAACTCGCTGATGAGGCCATTCACTTCAATGCAGCTGCAACCAGGTATCTTCTTAGCACCAAAATTCTTCATCTTCTTCCTCACTTCAGTTACATCCTCCCACCTATCAGCTGCTGCATAAATATTAGCTATAAGCGTGTGAAGGCCGGAGTTCATTGATTCCAGCTTCACAACTTGCATAGCTATCTTCTTTCCTATTTGTATGTTTCCATGAATTCTGCAAGCGCCGAGAAGTGCTCCCCATAGAGGCAATACATCTTCATTGTTCTTATCTGAAATGCTCTCTATCAACCGTTCAGCTTCAGCCAAAAGACCAGCCCTTCCAAGAAGATCAACCAAACATCCATAATGTTCAATTTTAGGTTCTATTTGATGCACCAACTTCATCTCGCGGAAATGTCTACGACCTTCTTCTACGAGCCCTCCATGACAACAAGCACTTAGAACACCAATGAAAGTGATATCATCGGGTTCGACTCCTCGTGCTTTCATCTCATAGAATAGCTCAAGAGCATTTTGCGTTTGCCCATTTAAGGCGAGGCCGCAAATCATTGATGTCCATGTAACTCTATCCTTTTTTTTCACTTCCCTGAATATTTCCAAAGACTTATCAACAGAACCACATTTTGCGTGCATGACAATGAGCGCCGTGCTTACAACATTGTCAATTCTTATGTTGCTATCTTCAATGTATCTATGAATCCACTTCCCCTGATCCAGAGCTCCCAAATTAGCACATAATGTGAGAAGAGCCACCACAGTGAACTTATCAGGCTTAATTTTTTTCATCTGCATTTCTCTGAACATAGCAAGAGCTTCCTCAAAGTGATTATACTGCACATAACCATTGATCATGGCAGTCCAGAGAACAATATCTTTTACTGGGGCGCTGTCAAACAGCTTTCTAGCCTCATCCAACTGGCCAGTGTTCACATAACCAGAAACCATGGAAGTCCATGAGATCACATTTCTGATAGGCATGCTTTCGAAGAAATCAAATGCAGCATATAAATCACCGCATTTTGCATACATATCCAAAATTGCATTGCCAAGAGGAAGACTGAAACGATACTTTTCCTTCATGTAATTGTGAATCTTCTTCCCCTGCTCCAAATTTCTTAAAGCTATACAAGCTGAGATCGAGCTAACCAAAGTAGCTTCATCAGCCTTTACGCCAACTTTTTCCATCTCCTTAAAAACAGAGATCGCCATTTCGAACTCTCTACACTTGACATAAGACGCAATCAGCACATTCCAAGTAACAACGTCTGTCTGAGATATTTCATCAAACAGTATTCGTGCGGTTTTAATATCACCCAATTCGGCATACATATCTATCAGGGAATTTCTAACAAATGGATCAAACTCAAATCCACTCTTTGAAACAAGCCCATGAGTCTTCCTCCCTTCAGAATCCAAACGGAGACAGCCGAAGGCCTTGAGAACGAAGGGGTAAGTGAAGTTATCTGGCGACAAATTCTCTTCCCTCATTCGACTGAAAAGCAAGATTGAATTTTTATGACTACCTTTCTTGGTGAGGGCCTTGATCATGAGATTGAAGGCAAAAAGATATGGGTTGCGCAGAGAATCAAACAACTTGAAGGCATAGTGAATGTTGCCGGAAAGTGGTTCGGTGAGGAAAACAAGGAGGTCGTCAATGATGTCTCTGCTTTGATCGAGTCCGGAGATGAGGACTTGGCTGTGGATTTGCTTGAGGGAATTGATCGATCTGCAGCGCTCAAGGAGAAGTACGTATTCTTTCTTGTTCAGTCTTGCAGGTTTGGCACCGGCGGCGGAGGAAGAGGATTGCCGAATAGTTTCCGAAAACAGAAAGAGAGAATTACGGGACATAACACAGTTGATTCGAGATCGAGAATTAGCTATCAGCTTATGGCACATTTTTTTTTTTTTTTTTGTATAGACAACGAAAATTGTGGAAACAAATAGGGAAATTTTTTTTACATGCATCATATTGTTCAAAGTCGGACGAATATGTCGCGTAATTTTTTCAAGATCCTCAGAATTCAGACAGATGCTTTCGTTCATAGATAATGATTATGTGGCAAAATTTCGAGGTAATATTTTCATCTCCGTCTCTCACTAGCTATTGAACATCAATGATGTTAACGTTTGCTTTTATAGGTTTAAAAATTTCGTTCAAACCTAAATCATAAAATCAGAAGTACATCATATCAACTGGTGATGGTTCTCCTGGCGGCTTTGCCGCCTTATAGGGGTGTCAATTTTTGACACTACCCGTAACACAACTCGAACCCTACTCGAAAAAATTCGGTTTCAGGTCTACCCGTGTGAGACCTCGTTCCCTTACTGTTCCTCTCAGATTTGGATTTTTCCTCTCAGGATCGTCCAGGCCGATTTTACATCGTCCAGGCCGATTTTCACTGTAGAAAATATCGGTTGACCCAGCAATCCGAAATTGACCCGAAAGTGACACGAAAACTTATATTTGACCCGAAAACTCGAGATTGACCCGATTTTTGACCCAAAAATTAGCAATTTTAGGTCAACTTCGGGTCATTCGTGTCGGGTCGAGTTGACCCAGACCCGAATCGGGTCGGGTTCGGTCCAGAAACCTGACCCGTTTTTAAAAACAGGTTGGGTTCGGGTTGACCCGAACAGTTCCGGGTTCGACCGAACCCGACCTGCTGACCCGAATTGACACCCCTAGCCGCCTATCGTGGCTGGCCTCAGGGAAGCTCTTTGGCCCTTGCCTTTATTTCTTTTAATTTTGGTGGCTTTTTGTTAGATTGTTTTGGTTTACTCCGTCTGGTTTGCCCGATGGCCCGCAAACACCTCTTCGATTCTGGCTTTTTAGATGGCCAATTCAAATCTTTTTCATTTCTCGATGTACTTTTTGGAAGTTCTTCGGATGTGAGTTTTCCTCAACTCAAAATTGTAACTAAGGTTTTGCTTGGGGCGGCTTTTTTGCTGCTTGCTGCTTCCTAGTTCAATATTTAAAAATTTTTGTGCTATAAACAGGGGCGGATTCAGCTTCTTTTCTCAGGGTGGACAAAAAAAAATTTTTTGATGGGGATGGACAAAAATGCCTAGGATTGATAAAATTAGGGCAAAAAATATTTTTGAGGTGGGCAAAATGCCTAAAATACTAAAAATATTCCAAAAAATCTCCTATAAATATTAAAAAAAAAAATTTTGAGGGTGGGCATTTGCCCACCCTAAGACTAGAGTGGATCCGCCCATGGCTATAAAGCTGCTTTAAGAAGCAACAAGAAAGCCATCCCAAACGAAGTCTACAGATTTGTTTGAATCAACTTTCTTACTGCTTCTTAAAACAGCTTTCTAGTATAAAATTTAATTTTTTTTACTAGATAACTGTTTTAAGAAGTAGTAAAAAATCATCCCAAACGATGCCTAAATATGTATCACGAGTCCGATCACTCTAGCCTTCGGGACTGGGCTAGCTTTCATTCCAATATACTTTTGAGATATTTTAATATAAATTTAGTTCCCTCATTCTCTTGTATCTTTCACCATCAACTTACAATAAAAATAATAAAATTAAATAACATTATCTCTTAATTGAAATTTCAAAAATATATATAATTATTTGAGATAGTCAGAGGATAACCATATGTGATTCCAATATATGTGTATAACAACATGTGATTCCCTTCAATAAAAATAAAAAATAAAAAAAAATAAAAAAACCACATGCTGATGATGTGTGAGCTTACCCCAACTGGAATATAGAATACATCATGCATGTCATCATGCCTTGATTGCTTGGCGGCCAGGCTAGCGGTGGCCAGCCCACTTTCCCACTCATATTCCTCAATTCATAGACAGTTCAAAGAGAGATAGATCTGTATCCTATAAATATTAAAAAGCAGCCATCTCTCTTTCTCGTAGATAACCAACAAAATTAACCGCCATGGACGGGTCATCCAACCACAACTCCAACCCCAACCCGGCCCGCATCATCTTAATCCCTTTCATGGCTCAAGGCCACATGATCCCCATGGTCGACATGGCCCGCCTCCTCGCCTCCTCCGGTGCCCTCGTCACTTTCATCACCACCCCAGTTAACGCCGCCCGCATCCGCCCTATTATTGACCACATTGAGAACTCCCATCTCCCTGTCCGCTTCGTCCAACTCCCCTTCCCCTCCGCTGACGCTGGCCTCCCTGCCGGCTGCGAAAACGCCGACCTCATCTCCTCCCCTGATCTCTTCAAATCCTTCATGGAAGCCCTCTCCCTTTTCGGAGAGCAAGTCAAGCTTTACCTCACTGCTGCAAACTCGACGGCGGTGCCGGCCGACTGCATTATCTTCGACTGCTTGAACTCCTGGGTTCGTGCGGTGGCTAAGAGCCTCGACATACCTCACATAATGTTCTACGGGCCGTCGTGTTTTTATATACTCTGCGCCCATCTTTTGAAGAAGCACCAGGTGCTGAAAAGCATTGATGATGATTATGAGCCATTTAAGGTTCCGGAGTTGCCGGAGCCGGTGGAGGTGATGAAGGCGCAGGTGATGAGGTGGATGGATAGGCCGGGCTGGGAGAAGATAAGTGAGGAGTTCTACAAGACCGAGAAGTCGGCATTCGGCGTTGTGATGAACACCTTTGAGGAGCTGGAGAAGTCGGGTTTGGATAAATTCAGGAAGGAGATTGGAAAGAAGGTATATTTTGATATTTTGTTCTGAACTTTAATGATTAGTCAGTCGTACGTATAATTAAGAAAGTATTAGTCCTTAATTATTCGATCTCTTTCATGATTCATGTTCAAATCTTCTTAAAAACTCAACCATGAATGAGAATTTCATATGAAATTGTCATCCAGAAAATAAGCTGTTGACTCCATGGTTGTAGCTTGTAGGCTTAAATTTGAATTCTTCAATGCAAATTAACAAATTAATGTCACCATCACAATGTTTTGAACCGCCCATTGCTCATTCAAACAGGTATGGCCCATCGGGCCATTGTCACTCGCCAACAAGGACTTGGATAGCAAGGTCATGAGAGGAAAAGCTTCTTCCATCGACACTGGGGTGTTATCAAGCTGGCTAGATTCCAAGACCCCCAATTCAGTCATGTTTGTGAGCTTTGGGAGCTTGTCACGCAATCCCATCTCCCAGCTTGTGCAGATCGGGCAAGGGCTTGAGTCTGCGTCATCTTCACAGTTGTCATTTATTTGGGTGGTGAAGGAGGCAGAAAGGAGCGAGGAAGTCGAGAATTGGTTGGCGGAGTTTGAGGAAAGAACAAAAGGGAGGGGGATGGTGATCAGAGGATGGGCGCCACAAGCGATGATTCTTGGCCATGTGACAGTGGGCGGATTTATGACACACTGTGGGTGGAACTCGACGTTGGAAGCGATTGCAGCTGGAGTGGTGATGGCGACATGGCCGAGATTTGGTGACCAGTTTGTTAATGAGAGATTGGTGGTGGATGTTTTGAGAATTGGGGTGGCGGTTGGGGCAAAGGTGCCGATTTTTTATGCGGATGAGATGAGTGGGAAAGGATTGGTGAAGGGGGAAGAGGTGAGGAAGGTGGTGGAGAAGGTGATGCAAGGAGGTGAGGAAGGGGAGGAGAGGAGGAAGAGGGCGAAGGAGTTGGCGGAGAAGGCGAGGAAGGCAATGGAGGAAGGAGGGTCTTCATTTGAGAATTTGAAGAGGGTAATCCAATTTGCTGAGGGAGAAAAAAAACATTTTGAATGAGGCTTTGATTTGTATTGTATCTATTTTTAGCATTTTGAAATGGGACTATATGTTGTTTTGTTGAGGTATGAATAAACATATGTTGTTTTATTTTTAGGGTTAGTCATTTTGTATTTTCTCAGTCCATTAAGAGAAAGAAGAATAGTTTATAATTTAAATATTATAAACTAAGAATATTAAATAATAAATAAAACATAAAATTAGAATCTTTGATCCTGTTCAATGTTTAATGAGAACCAAATAAACAGCTCTACTTTGTCCTCTTTCATTCTCTCAAAAACTACAAATCAATACTTTATTAATATATCATTCGATCATCTTTGAGATAGATTCAATGCTAACAAATTTCATTAATTTAATACAAAACCTCTCACATGTTTACACAATTTAAACAAAGATTCCTCCCAAAAATTTCATAATTTAGATCCTAAAAACTCCAAATCATTGCATAGTCAAGTGCTTGAGTGCCCAAATCAAGCGCTTAGGCACTTGGGCACTAGATCCTCCTTTTTGCATGGGGTAAAACTCCTGAACTATATAAAACAGGCACTTGGGCACCAGGTCGTTGTTCCATGCTCGATCAAGATCTTTTGATCTGTCTGGATCTAGTGCATGAGGGTCTATACATTGAGGATTCGTTTGAAACGATTTTCTTTCTGCTTCTTAAAGTATTTTTCTAGTATAAAAATTTTAATTTTTGTGATAAAAAGCTGATTTATGAAGCAATAAGAAAGCCCCCTCAAAAAAAAATTTTTTTTTTCTCATTATACTATTATTTAGATAATTTTTAGTTTTTATTACAAGAGGTTTTAGGCAATTGCCCCCCCTAAAAATGTTAAAATACTATGATCTTTAGGCAATTGACCCCAATATAATTAAATTCATTGTATAGATGTGTTATTGTTATGAAATGATGAAACATATATAAAGAGAAATAGTAAATCAAAATTTGTTCCGGGGGCGCTGCCCCCTTGGACCACCCGACATGTATGCGAACAGTTACTTATAAGTTTTTCCGCCATAAAAATTATGGTTGGTTCCGCCCCTGGCATTGAGTCACGTGCATGGGCAACCTGATCCTCTAATGCAACTATTAATTTGCACTATATGCAACTTGTAAAAATCACCAAAAAAAGTAGTTTTTAATGTCAAAAAAATATTATATTCATTATAATAAATTGTAAATTTAAGTGAAAATATCTTTAAATAAAAAAAAAATTGAAAAAAAAAAAAAAGAAAACTACCAAAATGTCACGTGGCATTTTTATAGTCGCATGGATGGTAGTGTTACAGGACATTTGAATTCTCCTTTACTGTAATGCACCATCGAATGATCCGATCTAGAACTTGTAAATATATGAGTTATATCACATATAATGGTTGATTAATTGGTGATAAAAATCTCTAGTGCTATGCCACTGATTTGAAGATAGAAAGTTACATCCTAAATAGTTGATAAAAATCTACAAATCATAGCATCAATGATGAGGCTCTTCCTTGGAATTTTTATTGTGTCCGGACAGAGTACCGAGGGTACCGAGCGGTATCGAGCTCTATACCGAGCTCGGTACCGAGCGACTAATGATATGGTGTTTTTTTTATTAGTTTCTGGACACGTTCGGTGTCCGGACACAATAATTATTCCCTTCCTTGAGGGAAGTATGATATTTTTCATTTCTTGAAACGTATATGAATTTATTTGTCTAGTGGTCGAGTAAAATAAGTAGTCTTAAGATATTAGAGAGAGAGAGAGAGAGAGAGATTATTCTGCTACCTTGAAATGCAAACAGAGGGGAAAACAAAATAGAGGCATTTACAAACAAAATCTAGTATGAATGCATGTCATGTTTAAGAGGATCATGAGTGTTGTGTCATGGAATATTCGTTAGCGTCTTAGGTTTGTACGAAAATTCATCACATGGTGTAGCGTTCATAAGAGAATCCAGAATTTTTATATAGAAACTCTTAAAAGGGGTGAAAATCATGAGGTCTCACCCAATTTGAATGAATCTATTAGTGTTTATAGTCAATTACAAATGAGGTCCTTCCTTGAGGGAAGGCCTTGGTTTGATGTAACAATTATACATCATATTGAATGCATTACATGGTGGGAATTGAAAGAATTAGTATTGACATGTTTATTTAGTCGGTAGGATTTTAGTCGGTAGGATTATAGTCGACGAGCGACGGAGGTCAGAATGATCGTAGTTGGGTGAAAGTGGTTAGAAAGATCATTGTCGGCAGGCAACAAAGGTCAGAAAGATCATTGTTTGACGATGAAGGTCAGAAGGATCATAGTCGGCGACAACTTGCAACAAAGGTCAAAAGTACCGTTGTTTGACGATGAAGATCAAAAGGACCGTAGTTGGTAGACGATAAGGGTCGGAAGGACCATAGTTAGCATGAGACAAAGATTGGAAGGACCGTAGTCAGCGGGCGGAGAGGGTCGGAAAGACCATAGTCTGACGACAGAGGTCGGAAGGACCGTAATCGACATATGACATTGGTTAGAAAGACCTTTTTCTGGCGACAGGGGCAGGTACGTAGGACCATAGTCGGCGGACAACAATGGTCAGAAAGACCATTGTCTGGCAATGGAGATCAAGAAGATCACAGTCGGTGGTCGTGTGGAACTCCGACATCCGAGCAGAAGTTAGGCATCATTTGGTGGTTGGACAAAAGTCCGGCGTCAGTCGGTGGCCAGATAAAAGTCTGGTGTCAGTTGGTGGCCGGGTAGAAGCCTGGCGATAGTCGATGATCCGAGAGTGATCTAGGAGGAATCTGATGGCAAGAGAACTCTCGTTATCATCAAATGTAATACGACTAGTGCCAGATTCTGATGGTGCCATCCTCGAAACCTGGGCAAATTATTGCATCTGGTCACCAGATGCGGAGAATAGGTTCGGGCATCCAATAAAAAATTGCCACGTCACCTGCGCTTTTGACTGCGCTTTACCTGCGCTTTTGACTGCGCTTTGCCTGCGCATTACCTGCGCGTTACCTACGCTTTTGATGCGCTTAATTTAAAATAATATTTTATTAATATCTGGACCTATCTCCACATCCGATCACCGGATGCAATAATTTGCCAGGAACCTGATGCATAAGACCTAACATCGCGAGAGAAACGTACACAGTGGACAGGGCCATGATGCCCTTTGTTGCATCCTGAATTATTATATAGAATAATTGCACAAATTCAAACCTACTCAATATAACATAAATTTCCACACAAAAATCTTATTATGATCTGGCAAATGAAAATGCTAACCAAATAGCTAGGCAAACTATTAAGTGGGTATGTCTAGCGAGTTCACTCTAGTCTTAGGGATTGGGCTAGCTTTCATTCAAATATACTTTTCAGATATTTGAATGTAGGTTTAGTTCCCTCATTCTTTGGTATCTTTCAAGATCCACATACAATAAAAATAATAAAATTAAATCACATTATCTCTTGATTGAAGGTTCAAGAGAAAAAAATGTATAATTATTTGAGATAGTCTAAGGGTAACAATTAAATAATATATACCCGCCCAAGTTTAAGATAATATAACAACATGTGATTCGCTTTAACTTAGGCTTCGTTTGGAATGGCTTTACTGTTTTCTAAAATGGAATTTTAGTACCAATTTTTTTAATTTTGTATGAAAACTCCGTTTTAGAAAGCAATAAAAAAGTCGTCCCAAACGAAGCCTTAGGCTACCAATTTTTTTTAATTTTGTATTAAAACTCCGTTTTAGAAAGCAATAAAAAAGTCGTCCCAAACGAAGCCTTGGGACGACTTTTTTATTGCTTTTTAAATCAACTTTCTAGCACAAAAATTTTAATTTTTATGCTAGAAAGCAGCTTTAAGAAGCATAAAGAAAGCCGTCATTAGACTTCGTTTGGAACAGCTTTTTTGTTGCTTCTTAAAGTAGCTTATTAGTAAAAAAATTTAAATATTGAACTAAGAAGCTACTTTAAGAAGCAACAAAAAATCAGTCCAAATGAAATCTTAGTATGTAAAAATTAAATAAATTAAAAAAAATAAACACACGTGCTGAATGCTGATGGCGCTTAAGCTTACCCCGACTGGAACTATGTATAATACATCATGCGTTGACAGCTTGGCGGCCAGGCAAGCAGCGACCAAGACCACGCGTGCCTTTGAAGCCCAACAAACGACTTCAAACAGTTCAAAGAGATGTAGATCTGTAGCCTATAAATATTTAATAGCATCCATCTCTCTCTTTCTCGTAGATAACGAACAAAATTAGCCACCATGGACGGGTCATCCACCCACAACTCCGACCCCAACCCGGCCCACATCATCCTGATCCCTTTCATGGCTCAAGGCCACATGATCCCCATGCTCGACGTGGCCCGCCTCCTCGCCTCCTCCGGCGCCCTCGTCACTTTCATCACCACCCCAGTCAACGCCGCCCGCATCCGCCCCAGTATTGACCGCATCGAGAACTCCCAACTCCCCGTCCGCTTCGTCCAACTCCCCTTCCACTCCGCCGACGTCGGCCTCCCCGCCGGCTGCGAAAATGTTGACCTCATCTCCTCCCCTGATCTCTTCAAACCCTTCATGAAAGCCCTCTCCCTTTTTGGAGAGCAAGTCAAGCTTTACCTCACTGCTACAAACCCGACGGCCGACTGCATTATCTTCGACAGCATGAACTCCTGGGTTGGTGCGGTGGCTGAGAGCCTCGGCATACCTCACATAATCTTCCATGGACCGTCCTGTTTCTATATACTCTGCTCCCGTCTTTTGAAGAAACACCAGGTGTTGAAAAGCATTGATGATGATTATAAGCTATTCAAGGTTCCGGAGTTGCCGGAACCGGTGGAGGTGATGAAGGCACAGGTGATGAGTTTGATGGATAGGCCGGAATGGGAGAAGGAAAGTGAGGAGTTTTACAAGACTGAGAAGTCGGCGTGCGGCGTTGTGATGAACACATTCGAGGAGCTGGAGAAGTCAAGTTTGGATAAATTCGGGAAGGAGATTGGGAAGAAGGTATATTTTGATATTTAGTTCCGAGCTTATAATGATTAGTCAGCCGTGCGTATAATTAAGAAAGCATGAGTCCTTAATTATTCGATCTCTTTGATAATTCATGCTCAAATCTTCTTAAAAATTAAATCATGAATGGGAATTTCATATGAAATTGTCATCCAGAAAAATAAGATGTTGACTCCATGGTTGTAGCTTGTCGGCTTAAATTTGAATTCTTCAATGAAAAGTAACAAATTAATGTCACAATCACAATGTTTTGAACCGTCCATTTCTCATTGCTACAGGTATGGCCCATCGGGCCATTGTCACTTGCCAACAAGGACTCGGACGGCAAGGCCATGAGAGGAAAAGCTTCTTCTATCGACACTGTATTGTTATTGAGCTGGCTGGATTCCAAGGCCCCCAATTCAGTCATGTTTGTGAGCTTTGGGAGCTTGTCACGCAATCCCATCTCCCAGCTAGTGCAGATCGGGCAAGGGCTTGAGTCTGCATCATCTTCACAATTGTCATTTATTTGGGTGGTGAATGAGGCAGATAAGAGCGAGGAAGTCGAGAATTGGTTGTCGGAGTTTGAGGAAAGAACGAAAGGGAGGGTGATGGTGATCAGAGGATGGGCGCCACAAGCAATGATTCTTGGCCATGGGGCAGTGGGCGGATTTATGACACACTGTCGGTGGAACTCGACGTTGGAGGCGATTGCAGCTGGAGTGGTGATGGCGACATGGCCGAGATTTGGAGACCAGTTTGTGAATGAGAGATTGGTGGTGGATGTTTTGAGAATTGGGGTTGCAGTTGGGGCAAAGGTACCGACTTTGTTTGTGGATGAGATGAGTGAGAAAGCGTTGGTGAAGGGGGAAGAGGTGAGGAAGGTGGTGGAGAAGGTGATGCAAGGAGGGGAAGAAGGGGACGAGAGGAGGAAGAGGGCGAGCGTGTTGTCGGAGAAGGCAAGGAAGGCGATCGAGGTAGGAGGGTCTTCGTTTGAGAATGTAAAGAAGATAATCCAATTTGCTAAGGGAGAAAATAAGCATTTGGAATGAGGCTTGATTAAGCCTTTCTTTCTCTCTCTCTCTCTCTCTCTAGAAAATTTGTTTGGAATGCATATAGCTACTTTGATTTGTGTTGTATCTATTTTTAGCATTTTCAAAAGGAAATTGTATGTTGTTTTGTTGAGGTATGAATAAATATATGTTTTCTCTTTAGGGTAAGTCATTTTGTATTTTCTCAATCCATTAAGAGAAAGAAGAAGAATTGTTCATAATTTAATTATTATAAACTAATAATATTAAATAATAAATAAAATATAAAATTAGAATCTTTGATCCTCTCAATGTTTAATGAGAACCAAATTCATTTAATACTTAAATAAGATTCAAACTACATTATAGCTAAAAGTAGCTCAAATAAGATTCAAAATACATTATAGCAAGGTTTTGGTCTATATTCAATACTTTTTAGAACATTTTTTGAACAATGTTGGAACTAATTACCATATTCTGGTAATATTTTAATATGATTAGAACATCGATTAAATAAAGTTTGATCATGTTCAAATATTGCTTCAATAAGAATTTGGTTTAAAGATGATTCAATTATTGTACAATCATTATTCAAATATTATTAGAATATGATTTAAAAATTTTTAAGTTTTAGTTTTAGGAATGTTTGATCATGACTTAAAGATTGTTTTATTTTGGTTTGAAAATGATTTAAAAATGAATTATAACACAACAGATTATAAGACTGGTGCAATATTGTGAGTACAATCACAACAACAAATTAAAAGAGATGTAATGCAACAACCATAATATAATAGAGCAAATTTTAAGAGATAACACAACAACCATTAAGATTATGCAATTCAATTGTATAGTTCAAGAGATATAACTCAATATTTATACATAATAAATTTGAATTCAAAATAAGTGTAAACTAGATTAAAGAAAGAGTAAATATGCATGAAAAAATAATGTTTATATCATAATAATAAATAGACTTGGTATCATGGAGAACATATACGGTTGAGTGAAATGTCACATAAGCAAAAAAAAAGATGAGAAATAGTATCTTCCATCATGAATTATAACACTAAGTGCCAATGGTTGGGAGCAATTATTTTGTGCGGACGCCAAACGCCGTCCAGAGCCCAATGAAAATGCTCCACATCACTCGGTACCGAGTCTCAGTATTGCTCAGTACCAGATAACGTGACGCATTTTCATTAGGCTTCAGACTTTAACTGTGTCCGATGTCCATCAATTAACTTGCTCATCCCAACATATGTTCAAATTTTTCTAGAAAAGAGAAAGGTCTTACCTAGTAGATTGAAATAGTTGATCAGATTAAGTTTTATAAAATACTGACTTTTCTTTAATTTCCCCCTTTTTTTCGTGTAGCCTTAACTGGTAGCAAGTACTATGTTTTTCCCTTATATGAAGTAGTCTATAAAGATATGATAGAGAAAGGGATATTGCTCTGCTACAGCACCAGTGGAGATATGGAAGAACAAACAGGGGCAAAACAAAATAGAGGCATTTACAAACAAAATCTAGCATGAATGTATGGCATGTTTAGAAGGATCATGAGAAGCCAACAATTTGCTTTCAAAACACCCATTATATCCAACTAGTATTGATTGCATGCTGTAGAAGAGCTTATATTCAAAGGCATTTTAGGATTCTGTAGCTGGCTCCACCTTCTCCTCCATTTTCCCATCAGTGGAGATATGGAAGCCCTCAACTTTGCGTGCGGCATCGTTTACCACAGCGCTGATCTTTCCAGAAACTTCGATAGAGGCCGACGACTCGTTATCATCAAATGTAACAGGACCAGTCTGCCATATTCTGATGGTGCCATCCTCAGAACCTGAAGCATAAGACTCACCGCCCGGAGAGAAACGCACACAGTGGACAGGGCCATGATGGCCTTTGTTGCATCCTGAATTATTATAGAGAATAATTGTCCAAATTCAAACCAACTCAGCATAACATAAATTTCAACAACAAAATTGAAAATGCTAACCGATTTCTTCGCCGGTGTGAAAATCAAAGATGCGAACCCACATGTCCTCTCCTCCGGCGACAAATTTGTTTCCGAATTTGGGTTCAAGGGAAGCAGATTCAACAGTGCATGGCATATTGTAGCTCTTCACAAGACCAAAACTGAGCAGGAATATTAGGATGGCATTTCTCAGATAAAAATAGGGATTGGAAGGAAGTCTTTTAAACAAACTGATTAGAAACATTTTTGCGAACTTACTGATTTGCATCCCAAAATTTGACGGTTGAACCGTCAGCAGTTGTGATGTAGCGACCATCTTGACTAACTTCAGCACTGGTAACAGGAGATTTTGTTTCCAGAATTTGGATGATTTCTCCACTCCTTACATCCCATAATCTGCAGTTAATAGTTACAGAAGCTATATAAGAGAAAAGCCTCAAAGTATGAACTTAACCTGCAAAATAATGTCAAATGTACAGCATAAAGTACTCAAACAAAAAATATGTTTCGTTTTAATACCCCAACCGCCAGTCTGCATGGCTGTTATGAATTTGCCATTGGCCGATTAAGTGCAAGTTAGTTAAAAAGAACCACCCTACCAGCTCACATGCATATACTAGGGGGTAAGTGTGGCCTTGTGGGGACGCAATTCATGCGTGAATGTACTGCACACGATCATCAAATGTGGAGGAATTTCCACCCCTTTCATTTAGTATTGACATTCCTGTCTCTTAGAAAGAGATGCTAAACGATTGAATCAGACAGGTGCAGGTGTGGTACCAAAAAAGGAAAGTTCAAGCTCAGGATCGGATTTGCAAATTCTCCGAATCGAAAACCTTTCCAAGGAGGCTTGAGAGGACTTAGCTTGCACGTGAAGAGAAGAGTCCGATATCCACACCTTTCTGGATGCAGAGTAATGCAGCTAAATGTACAAGCCTCCTATGATGGCTAACTAATGAAAATCTCAAAAAACTAAGACCAGACAGATTTACTGCATGTAAATTCTGGCAGCGGCTGCGAGTGCTTTATGTAGTATCGAAGGGTTCCCAAATGTCAATTTTTGAAGAAGCCATCTCACATTTGTAGATAAATTTGGAAGTATTTGAACTCAGTTTTATAGTATAGCCAATAGAATAGAATAGATAGAATTCTAAACGCTGCTGCTAGTGCTTTATCCACAAATGAAGGATTGCCTATGTCAATTTTGAAGGGTGACACGTCTTTTTTATATAAATTTGAAAGTGTCTGAACTTAGTTGTATAGTATAGTACTATAGTAAATAGAATAAAATAGCTAGATATCTACCGCCTAAAAAGTTCTAGAGAACTTCGTATTATCTACTCAGTTAGCATATTTAGAAAAAGTTCTATTTTACCTTCATATTAGAAAATAAAAGTAGACATCATATATTATTTGCAGAGAATAATTTAAATATTAAAACTTATTTGAAAATCATCTAAATCTGCTAAATTAAGGATTAAAAAAAACAATCAAATAATTAAGTGAATCTTTTAAAAATTGGAGTGGTATTATTTGCTTATTAAGAAAGGTAGAAAAGTAGAAAAAAAAATTACAATAAATTATATATAGACTTCTCCAAAAATGTTACAATGAAAATAAATGCAAAAAAGGAGAAAAAAAATCTTCAAGGGGGCAGGCGGCGGGAAGAGATAAAGGAGTCACATGGATTAAAATATAAGGGACATAAGAGGAACTATTCAATGGTTAGAACATTTAATTTGTGTGCTCAAGAATCTCTAACAAGATTGGTTAACATCGTGAACCCCAATATCATTTAAGACTTCCTCTCAAATTGAATAATATAAATCTAATATTTCTATTTCACTAACAATATTATGTTAGATCCTACAACAACAACAACAACATCAAGCCTTTATCCCACAACATGGGGTCGGCTACATGAATCATTTTTCTCCATTATGTCCTATTAAAAGTCAAATTATCGTTTAAATCTAATAAAGAAAGGACATTCCTAATATTTTTCTAACCAAGTCTTTTTAGGTCTGCCTCTACCTTTCTTAATATAAGTCAAATCTAATACCTCTACTCTCCTAATCGGGTCATCGGAAGGCTGCCGTTTTATGTGACCAAACCATCTAAGGCGACTCTCTTTAATCTTATCTTCTATTGGAGCTACTCAAACTTTTTCACGTATATGCTCATTTCGTATCCTATCTCTAAGGGTAAAGCCACTCATCCATCTGAGCATCCTCATCTCTGCCACATTTAACTTAGTATTATGCTTCTTTTTTAATGGCCAACATTCGGCACCATAAAGCATCACAAGCCTCACCACCATCTTATAGAATTTTCTCTTGAGTTTGAGGGGTACTTTTCTATCACACAACAAGCCCGATGCATTCCTCCACTTCAACCATCCAACTTGAAGTCTGCTGATAATATCTCCATCTATTTCACCATCACTCTGAACAATAGATCCAAAATATCTAAAACGTGTACTCTTATTAATGACTTGATCGCCCAAAGTCACAATCCCATCACTAGGTCTATTACTGCTAAAATTACACTCCATATATTCAGTTTTAGATTTACTCAAGCGAAACCCTTTAGACTCTAAGGTTGGCCTCCATAATTCAAGTTTAGTCGACCTACCCGGCATGAATCCAAATTGATTTTGAGAAACATTATAGTCTGATCAAGTCATTATTGAGCTACCCTAACCACAGTTTGAAATTGCACAATTGAGTATTGAGGTGCTTATTTTCCATAAGGCAAAATGCAAAGTCTCAAGAGATTTCGAAGCGTAAGCCTCAAAATTAAACGCCATTAAATTAATGAAGATATAAAACAATTAGCATACTAATATTAAAGTAAGATGTTGAAAAAAGATAATCAAAATTCAAAGGCCATTAAAAGTCATGCATGGTCGCAAAAAAGGTTAAATTAATAGTATATTCCACTCCCAGTGACAATAGGATCGGTTGCAGGCATGAGGGTCCTATGGTGTGTAGTTATGAAATTGTTATCGTGTTGTTCTTTTCAAGTTCAATTTGATTTAGATATAATAAGTTTATAAATCAAAATTTTAAATTAGATAAATCTTATTTTCAAGCATTAAACCTCTTCAAAATTGCGCTAACATTGTGCTGAGTATGCCTTGAGGCGTGCCTCACCCCCACTAAGGTGTAAGCCTCATCTAGCAAGTATGAGACATATGCCTCATTGCTTCTTTTTTTTACATTGCATCGAGACAACCCTTGATGCAGGTTTCTAATTATGCAATTTTAAATCATAAACCTAACCTATTAACACAAATCAATACCACTACTTTTATAAGATTTAAGAAAATCTAAACACCACCATAACCACTTTAAAAATCTTCTTAAAAATAATCGATTAGCCCACACCCATTAGAATTCTAATTCAACTTTTAACTTTCAATTTGCATCTTTTGATATCAAATCTATTAAAAAAAATAATCTTCTTTGTTCGATGATTTAATCCTATGGCTAGAATCAATTTCGATTCCTAATCATAATCAAGCATTACAACCCTAGCTGTTGTTCTACATTTTGTAGTTAATTTTCCATTGGAATCACCTCATGACATTTGCATCTTTTTTTTGGCTTTATGGAAAAAACATTATTTGTGATGTAGTAATTTCTTTCCAAGATACTCCCATGCTTTATGAATGTTTCTTATTACGAAAAGGAAAAAAATTGAAACACTGGGAGTTAAAATATGCTAGTAATATTTAACTTAATTATAAATTTTATCAAAAAAAAAAACAATCAACTGAGAAATGATAAACTTAAAAAAAATATATCTAATTAGCACAATCATAAGAAAGTGTGATTTCAAAAGCAAAGTGGGTATGAGTCAACACAAATTTTAAATACCTCAAAAGGGCCCCAATAGGAGAGAAATTCTCTAAAACAAGAGGTCCTTAGCATGTTGCCTTTTGTTGTTCATAGCTTTGCCTCATCAAGATTTCATTACCATGAAGAAACTAATTAAAAATAAAATTATAATGACAAGGAAGAAAAAATCGGTCATGCACATCTGCGAGCAATAATGATTTCTCCAAACTATAGTGGAAGTTTCTTATTATCCCTAGATATTTTGACAACAGAATTTTGAGTGATTTGGTCTCTCAACAATAACTATAACCATCACAATCAATTTTGCCTCATGTGTGGCTTATATAACTATCCTCCTCACATCTCTCAGAACTGCTCATCGAAGCCACCACAATCCTTCAATGACCCTACATGTTGAAGGCCTTCTTGCTACATTCATTGGCTATGTTTTCATGTTTATAATTATCAGCACATTAATTATTTGTTTCTTGACAATAACTCATTTTTATTTTCATTCAATAAAAATTACTTAATTGTAAATATTATTCCAATTAATCTTCCTCCTCAATAAGTGGTTTGATATCCAAACCATTAAAATTTCACATGAAATATTAATAATTATTTTAATACTACATGATGTTTATAATTACGTGCAAGGTATTTCATTGTCAATTTCTTATTATGTTCACAGTTAAAATCTAAATTTTATCAAAGTACAGGTCCAAAACAACCATAGGGATATCAATAAATGTTAACATGTCTAGGATTTGACACTTTAACTAGAAAATAACCAAGAGCTTAAACCTAAATTTACTAATAGAATTAGCTATTTATTGGAAGAAATAAAATTTAATCATGCACTGCACCCTCCTCGACCCTTAATTACATTGAAGCTGTGTCAAGAGATCATGCAACTTTTAAAAATAGTTAATAGGTGAAACACTTGCAGATACTAGAATAAGGATTTTGACATGCACCATAATTCATTGTAAAGAGGTCTCAAAATGTAACACAAATTAAATCAATTTTATATATCTTATTAAATTAGATGAGACTGTTTAAACAGTGAAATATGTCTTCAATTTTGAATAGAGCTCCACTTTGAAATGATGCCCTTCCTACGTCTTTTTACAATTGAAATTTCAAAAATGTCCTCCTCCCTCTCTTTCAATTAGTTGGCTATAAGTATGTTCATGTTTCTTTCTGTTCTCTCTCATATTCCACAATGAATCCCTCATAAACTTATCTTAATAGCACTAACACAAATAAATATTTAGTTTTCAATCTTTTCACATATTTTTTTATTCAAACTTACTCTAATCTCACATAAGGAGCAAATGAAAACTAATAAAATACAAGGAAATAGGGTACCTAATACCTATTTCAGCTATACTAATCCAGTATTTAGCTAGTAGAAGCTGATGTCTCCAAAAAAAAAAACAGTACAATTACATTTTCCTTTAATAACATGCATAATTTGGGTACTAGTGACAATAGTTTAGAGTAAAATCATATAGAATAATAGCAATATACGGCTGCTGGATGTTAATCATGAAAAAAATATGCATGACATAGTTATTTAGTTAAAAAGTGGCCACATGAATTATTATTTATTCAAACATCAGTAAAACATATGGAGTAATTAAATACCTCACACCTCCCAAATCAGTGCATGAACTTAGGATTGTCTGGTCACTATGAAGCCATGCAGCAGTTCTGATGGAACCAGGTGATTTATCAATTTCAGTCGGTGGAGCATCAGGTCTATTCAAATCAAATAAACGCAAAATCTTTTCAAGCCCACCAGTTAGAAGCATGTGGGTGTCCTGCAGTCCATTAGGAATACAAATATCCTAGATCAATTTTCACCAACATTAAATTTGTATTTTGGCACTCAACATTCCAAAACAAATACAACGAGGATGCAAAGATGTAATATGTTACAGAACTATGCAGATGGCACTGTGAAATGACTTGGTCATAAAAATTGGATAGCAAATAAGCATAAGTGCAAGATAGAAATCAATAAGTTTCATACACAAGTATGTAATAGAAGATCAACACGGCATCTACTCGGTGCATTTGTTCCCAATTAATCCATCAAATTAACTTTTTAGTTTCTAGCAGCAGTATATCTCCAAATGCATGTTGTGCACGTCTTTAAAACATTTCACGCAACACAAAAAAGGCCAGAAACTTCCAAAAAACTATACTTCAATGAATAATAAATCCACTAACAATATTTAAGAAAAATAATTCAGTAATATTCATGCAAATATATATATATAATATATATTCATTAACATCAACCATATAATTTAATGATGCTGCAAAAGCAACCACTCCAGCATGGAAATTAACATAGTAGCTTTCTGTTGCAACCACCCTAGGGTCAAGTTGGCCAATAACAAGATCAGTATCATCTCCGAAGCAACTTCCCATTTTCTTTGTTTCTCTGCTGATTGCATTATCGTCAGCACTTTCGCTTTGCTTCTCTGGTGATTGCATTCCTGGCCAGCGCTTCAACTTCTTAAAACAGCTGGAGAGGAAAATCAGTAAAAATATGATAGTCAAAGATAGAATGTGGTGTACACACGTGGTGTTGGGAAAAGGAAGAGGTGTACTCATCTTAATCATTTTCAGACAATGTAGTTCCATGGACATCTTTGAGAGCAATTTTTCATTTGTTTTAAAGTTTTTTTGTGCCATTACTTCTATGATAATTGTTTACAATTCCGCTATCCCACCCAACTTAAATTGTCCCCTTGCATGATTATCCAGGCTACTGGGATGATGAATTTATTGCAAAAGCATCTTGATCAGTTGTCCTCGATGCTCGCTGATCTATAATGGTGATTACTTCATACCCATTGTACCCATACTGGCATGAACAAGCAACCATTAACCTAAACTATGCTGATTCAAATTTGGGAAAAAAAAAGGTATAAGCATTCATGGCCTACAGGTCCGGATAAACATTAAGTTAGACAAGAGTGGGCATGTAGGCCGTGTCACAGAAGCTCAATGTTAGCAAATTTACAAGATAGGATCATGGTATGTTGCTTAAATTTTCCTATTTCAAGGTCTTCCAATATTGGGTTAAGTTTCAACTATTTTACCCTAATGTAATTATGAATTATTTTAGTTATTTATAACATCGCTATTCTATAAATCCAAAAAAAAAATGACTTAAAGAGATGAACCATACGAGGCTTATAATCGTTACAACCAAAGGTACTCCACGACTCCATGCTTTACATGCAATCAGACAAACCAAAAACTAAATGTAATGATCTACCATGTCCTTGCAAATATGTAGAATTTCTTTCGGCAGCCATGTCTAAAAAACACCCCTCACCCCTCACCCCTCAAAGCTATCTTAACAAGGTGTCAACAGAAAGACATCATCAGCTTATTATTAGTCGGATAAAAGGTTTTTTTTTTTCTTTCAACTACCCAAGAGAAAACAGAATGTTTACAAATTTCTGTTCCCTTACAGGAATCTTATTCTTGATCTCTTCTTCTTTTTGCTCTTTATGTTTTTGTGGGTGTGGGTGATTCTCAATGCCTACTTTTTTTTATATAAAGAAGATTCTATAAGTTTCATCTTGTTAATTAGTTAATATTACAGAGCGGCATTGGGAAAAAAACACAAAGAAAAAGTTCTTAGTTAAGTGACAGAGAATCTTTCCAAAGAATGCACCTGATTTTTAGATTAATATCTCACAACCCTTGGCTGAACATGGACCAGCAAGAAAAAAAAGGTGACCCTGAAGGGGGGACAAAACAAAAGAATCAGTGCATGCCAATCCTTTGAACACCTCTTGCCCTCCTCCACCCCTCTCCCTTGACAGCAGATCATTATTAAAATAACGATAGCTCCTTGTCCTTTGCAATTAATATGCTGCCCAGACACAATGCCTTGTTTCAAGCAGCCGCGACTCCTTTTCCCTTCCACCAAAGTTCAGAGAAACTAATCCCACTTGTCATAATACAATGCATTTTTTAACATATTTTTTATGTCTCATGGTTGGCATGCCTGGCATGGTGAGGGGAAATTTGAATAAAAGATTCAGCCCTGTCCTAGCTGTGATAAGAAAATTGAAATATATCTTTTATACATACAAAAGATGCTCCACAGGTGTCAATAAAGACTTTAATACTAGCAAATCTACCATCTTATGATGCGGACATCCAACCGTCCATGCCTATCCAAGGAGGAGCTGAAGATCGACGACCGAGATCACTTTGTTTTATTTTAGTTTATTAAGTGTATTTTGATTTAATTTTGCAATTTCCCTTTTTTACCCTCTTGTCTTATGTAAGCTCAATGGGCAAATGTGTCTTTTAATTTCTTTTGAGGCCTATATATAAAGGCCCCTTCTCTTGTATTAAGCATGATGGAATTATAAAAAAATTGTGTTTTGCACTTGTGTTCTTTGGGAAGAAAGTTAGTGAAATCCCTATGGAAGGGAGTCGGAGTTTCCACCAGCCGTAGGATGGGTCTGGGCTCGTGGCGTGAAGTCCCTTGGAGAAGGGCAACGTACTACCCGTCAGCTGCTCGATGTGTCCGGGCTCACGGTTGTATCTTTCTTTCCCTAAACCCCTTTTCTCCTCCTCCCCTCTCTCCACCTCAAGCCGCCGGCCTAAGGCGTCACCAAATTCCTTACCGCTGGCCACCTAATCCTCCCGCACCCACCAACCTCAACATACCACCATATCCCCAAATCAGCCCCTCAAAGTCCACCTAACCGCCGGCCCATCTCCACCACCTCTAGCCATGCCGCCGGTTGCCATCCCCCTCCCTTGCCTCCAATTCTCCTTCCCCCACTTGCTACCAATTCTTTGCTAAATTAGATTTCATAAATTTGGTAACTCTTATTTGAATAAATTCAAATCAATTTGAATTTCAAATAGTTACTTAAATTATAAATCTTATTTTAGGAAACCTATTAAATCAATTCTTATTTAAATTTTAAATTAAGAGAGGATGAGATACTTCTTTCCAATCTTGATTTATTAATTAAGCATTAATTATCACATTAAAGTCTCTCCCTCACGTTGGAAATATTTCCAAAACCTGGCCCCTATTTTTGCCCACAATTTCAGCCTCCCTAATGTTGGAAATATTTCCAAAATCTGCCATATTTCTGCCCACAATTTCAGCCTCCCTCACGTTGGCAATATTTCCAAAGTATGCCATATTTCTGTCCCCAAATTTCAGCCTCCCAAATTGAAAATAATTCCAAAACCTGGCCACAATCCAGCCGTCCCCTCCCTAGCTGTTTCGCTGGGTTATATCTCTCCAAAATCCTCCTAAAGTTGATCCGATTCTTAACTTTCCTGCTCTCCAAGTTGCTGCCAGAATTTCCTGCATCTACCACTTGGTTTGCCTTCTACCTGAAAGCTTCCAAAGGCTGCATTAAGAGAACAGTTTGCTGTCTACTAGTTCCCACCGGCTCCCCGTCACCATAGTATCCTCGGCACAGCTTGTCCTTGTTGTCCAGCACTTTTCAAAGTCAAAAACAGCCCCCCCTCAATCCCCATACCCGTTCTACATCATCTTACCTCTCACTGGGTGCTCAAGGATGAGCCTTACCTGTGAAACTACTTACTTTTCCAGTACCTTATTCAGTGATAAAATGCATTAACCAGTTAAACATGCTACATGTGTAAATGCTTATAAATTAGACATCCGCTTGATTTTTGCAATGAATTGGTAACACTTTGCATTTTGCTTCAATATACACTCCTTTTGCTTCATACCGCACCTTGAACATTCACAACACTAAGCCTACTACTTTTATTTAGAGATTTTATCCCAGCATAGAAAAAGTACATTCAAGAAATATAATTTGCATATTTTAAATTTCAAGACAAGTTTATGAACCACATTGCAAAATGTATTATACTTGTCCAATGATTACAAGGTCCAAGCTGTGATCAAGGACCAGAATCTATTAAAAAAAACAGCAGAATCTCCAAAATCAACAAAAAATACACGAAAACAGAAGGCAGCAATGAGAGCAGCAAAACAAATAAAAAATAAATTAATTTGAACCACATACAAACAACAAAAGGCAGCGGATACCTCAGAAAAGGCACATGCACGAACAATGTGCTTGTGTTCAAATGAATGCAACTCATCACCAGTTAAGGCATCCCATACTTTCCTGCAAGCAATTGATGGAAATAAATGTCAACAACTTATGATCATCTATAAATTATTGAAAAGTAAATAGCATAATTTTAAGAAGTCATTGGCAAGTTTTGACAAAGAAATATTAGAAAAATAAGAAAGTCTGAAACTTATAAATCTCAAAATAATAGATTTTATCATCTGAATCATGAAAACACAATGAGCTGGTCATCTATTCATGCAAGAAATATAAAAAGAGGTGCTGAGCCAATATAAAAAATAATTAATAAACTCAAATATTTATAAACTTAATTGAAAATAACTTGAAAAAAAAGGCATCATACGCTGAAAAATCAGCAGAAGCTGAAGCAGCGCGCAAGGCGTTAGTGTCAAGGCAACAGCTCCAAACAGCACCCTTATGCCCTTCAAAAGTACCAATCCAATCACCTGTCTCCCCATTTCTCAGCATGGGACTTGAATCTAATGAAGAAGAACGATAATATCATTCATAAAAGGAAGAGAATATTAAAAGAAACAAAGTCAGTCTAATATGGGGTAAAATAACTTTCAAGAGCTAAATGTATTGACAATTATATATATAGTACTTTTAATAATTTACACCATAAAATTTAAGGTGTAAAGCAGCACTTTCTCTAAAATCATTCAAAATAAAAATAAAGCAACTAAAAAGAAATTATTTTTTTCTCATCCAAATGATAGCTGAATAAATAATCGTAACATACAAGAATTTAGATGGTGTAACCTAACAATCTGGATGATGGAGAATGGTACCCTAGATACAGTACGCTGTTTAGCAGGCCAGGAACAACCTTTCAAAAGCCATTTTCTCTGCAATCATGCTTATCTAGGAGAAAGGCAACATAAGGTTGCCAAGACCTTTTACTTGAGGCATAATCCAGCAGGCAAGGCTCCCGCCTTTTTCCAATTCAGCACTAACTTAAAAAAGGTAATAATAAAAAAACTCATTGAGGGATTTCTTCCATATACATTATTAATACTAGCAAAACAAATAAAACCTCCATAACATAATCTTGCTAAGAAAAAAACTCAAATTGTAAAATCCAAAACTAACATTACAAATAATTCATAACATAAATTATATGAAAAAGAATAATATTTTAGTTCATTACACGTGCTTGTCAAAAAATCAATGAACATATTATAGGATTATCCCAACCATTTGGGGTTTTGTGAATTTCCCTTTCTTTTTTATTTAGTTAAAGGATATACCATACGTTTATTTAATTTAAGTAAGCCTTTTGAACAATACTCAGCCAATGTGATTGAAAGTTTTCTTATATAATAACTATAAAGTGCGAACATTTATAAGAAGTACAAACATAATATGACAAAGACATGAGGACATGAAATAACCATAAAAAATAGAACACAACACATGATTGACAGTTCTCTTATATAAATTTATAATACAAAATGTAATGAAAATGCCAAATGTCAATATTTTCCATCAAAAAACATCATACAATGAATAGTGATGGTTTTGTAGTAAGTCATGATGGTTTTGTAATTTTGGTTGAGTATATAATTCATAGTCCATGTTGACCCTCAGAACATCAAAGCTATTACTAAATTGTTACAGTCTATCAATATATCAAAAGAGTGTTGTTTTCTTAGTATAGCAGGATGATACAAGAAGTTTGTTAGAGAGTTCTTGTAAATAGCAATTTCTTAGTTCATTTTGACTCAGAAGACTGTATAATTTGAGTAAATTACATATTGTGAGAAGAGCTTATAGAAGCTAAACAATCATTTTGTATTGACACTAATTTTAACCATTGTCTCTGCATATTGAGAGTTTCCAATACTCAAGAAGTATATCATTCGTAGTCCATGTTGATCCTCAGAACATCAAAGCTATTACTAAATTGTTGCAGTCTACCAATATATCAAAAGAGGTTGTTTAATTAGTACAGCAGGATAATACAAGAAGTTTGTTAGAGAGTTCTCGCAAATAGCATTTTCTTAATTAACTTTGACTCAAAAGACTGTACAATTTGAATAAATTACATATTGTGAGAAGAGCTTATAGAAGCTAAAGAATCATTTTGGGTTGACACTAATTTTAACCAATTTATTTGATATTGAGAGTTCCCAATGTTCAAGAAGTATATCATTCGTAATCCATGTTAACCCTCAGAACATCAAAGCTATATAACTAAATTGTTGCAGTATACCAATATATCAAAAGAGTGTTGTTTCCTTAGTATAACAGTATAATAAACGAAGTTTATTAGAGAGTTCTCCACAACATTTTCTTAACTCATTTTAACTCGGAAGACTATACAATTTGAGTAAATTATATATTGCGAGAAGAGCTTGTAGAAGCCAATGAATCATTTTGTGTTGACACTAATTTTAAACATTTTATCTGATATTGAGAGTTACCGGCATTCAATAGTGTATTGTTGAAGAGAATAGGATGTGTTTTGATGCAGCATGAGAAATTATAACTTATGCATCCACACAATTGAAGCACATAAAAGGAACTATCATATTCATGATCTGTAACCAAATTTCATTATACTCACGTTAAAATTTTGGAAACATTACGTAAATAGAATGAGATATGAGATTTGTATTGATTATCAAAGTTTGAAGTATATTCTCGATCAAAAAAGCCTGAACCTCAAAAAAAAGATATGGTTAAATTTGATCAAGGATTATGATTTGAGTATCCAATACTAGCATAATAATGTGTTTTCCCATTGGAGAGACAAGGTGGATGATTATCACTTAGATTAAATTGATTACGAAGATCAAGAAAATATAGTAGGAGGTAGTAAAAGCAATCAATGTGCATGTGTAATTATTAGTTCAAATGATTCTACAATCTACCTTATAGGAGAGGATCTAAGAAGCCCAAAAGATTGATGAGGAATATGTGAAACTAACAAAACAAGTTAAGTCAGGAAAGAAGGCATAACTAAAATTTGATGACAATGACATTCTTACTTATAGTGGTCAAGTGTTGGTTCTCAATTGCTTGTGATCGAAAAATAAAATAATGCATGAAGCTCATTATATAGGATATAGTGTTCGCCCTTGGATCAATAAGATGAAATCAAGATCTAAAAATTGACAATGTTTATAAATGTCAAGTTTGTCAAATGGCCAACAAAGAACATTAGTAACCTAGTGATTTGCTACAGTCATTACCCAATCCTGATTGGAAATGAAAAGAGATCATTATGAACATTCTAATTGGATTTCCTATGCCAAGGTAGTGATATGCAATAGTATGCTTTATGATTGATTGATTATTATTTTGTTGTAAGACAACCATATTGGCACAATAGTATGTGAAAAAGATAAAGAGGTTGCACTCAGTACTGAAAGTGATTGCATATGACTATGATGATAGGTTTACCTCTAGGCTTTTGAGAGGAATATAGGAAAGATTTGATATTACATTGAAGTTCATTATAACATTTCACTCACAAATAAATAGACAATTTAAGAGAAATTCGGATATAAGAAAGCTTTTGCGCTTAATTTTGGTGCTATTTGGGAAGGCCATTTACCTTTGATTGCTTACGACAACAAAAAAAATCTACAATCCAATAGCAGTATGCCTCCTTATGAGACTTCATATATGGAACACAGTATATACAAGCATTGGCATGGGTTAAATGAAGTTGCAGAATGGATATTGTTGGGTCAAAAAGTGATGGACAATGCAACTCAAAAGATTAAACTTATTAAAGATAGATTGAGATCAGAACAAAACATGCAAAATAAAAAGTAAGACCCCAAGCACCGTGTTGTAGAGTTCGGAGTAAAAAAATGTGTGTATGTGATGGTCAACCCACAAAAGGAAACGAGCATATTTGTAAGAGAAAAATAGTTAACCCAATGCTTATTAAACCTTTCAATTAATTGGTAAAGTGGGAATCCTGCTTAAAGGTTGTTATTGTCAAAGCATATGATTAATGCCCGTTATGTATTCCATATTTTAGCATTGAGGAATTAGGTTACAAATAAAACAAATTGAGAGCTAGAGACCAAGATTAATGTACTATTTGATTTTACATTTAGAAAAGAACATAAATGTATGTGGTCGTATGATATGAAACAACATAGGAATAAGCAAATTTGTATGGAGTTAGTGGTGGCACAAGGCAAATGGAGAAATTACATGAAAGAAGATGATATGAGAACGCTATCCATATATATTTGATTGACTAGTTTGTGACTGATAGATCTACTGGAATATCAAATACTATATTATTTTTAAAATGAAGAGTTTATAATACCTGCTTATGTAGTTACCCAAGACACCCACATTATAGAGTTTTTTTCTCATTTACAGAGATTATTTACAAAATAACTTTATTTATATGTTCATAAACTTGTGTGATGACTTTAAATGAGTGTTATAATATTTTTTAAATGATTTTACATCTCCAATAAAATCATACATATAGTATTGGATCTTACATACAATCAGGTCAATTAGGTTGCCCGATTTGTTGAATTTTGGTACACATCAATTGAAATACTCTGATACAATCGAACATTTGGAGTCAACTATTGTAGGATTTACAATCAATTTTCATTGGTGTGTTTCAAACCTCTGTTTAAAATTGCGCAAATAGAGGCGCGCCTTTGCGCAATTCTGCCCAAAAACGCCTCATAGCCTACGCAATTTTGGGCTTTCAAGAGGCGTACGCCTCACTGGGGCTGAGGCGCGCCTCAGAGGCGCAATTGCGCAACTCATTGTGAGGCGTACGCCTAAAGTTCAAACTCATTGTAGTATTTTATGGCTATTTTTTCACATCTTGTTGAGCACTGTATTGCATCAAGTTTCACTTTCTTATGTGAGCTAAACTCTTACATTAAACTTCGAGTTATTTACAAAAATGACCCTCACATATATATTATTATTTTTATTCTCATTTCCACATTTCAGTCAAACAAAGGAAGATAAAGAGAGTAAGAGAGTTGAGAAATAGAGTTAATTTAGGAGGGCTTAATGATTTATTTAAGGATCTATGCATTTGAGAAAATAGTTTGCATAAAATAGGCTATTATTACACTATTAACTATTTCATATTTCAATAATTGTATTCTTCTTGTGTTTTCTCCTATTATGACTCTTTACCGAAACGAATATTTTATAACGTATTAATGGCTTTCATCATCCAACAATATTTTATTATACTAGAATTTCTACTTATTTTTCAAGATTGTATCAAACTTTTATGAAGTGTTTTGTATTCCTAAAAGATTCATGTTATAAGGTGTTCCACAATTTGTAGAAATAAAGGCTATGATGTGATAATGTTCAATGATCATGATGTTACCTACCGCATAAATAATATGTGATTTGTATGTTGTTTTATTCATGGGGGGTTTTCTCCACACCTTCTTATGCACGATTTTATACTTCATGTGCAATTATACACATGTCAAAATCATTTATATGAACTTCTATAGTTCTACTTATTTCATGTGAAACAGCTAATACTCATACATATTAAAGTGTGTCAACAATTTCCTAATGTTAAATATTGGCGTCTACCTATACATTATACATATAGTTCATATTGATTATCCTCTTGTAATGTGCTATATGAACTTTATCAAGTTTAAGGGCTTGAAGTAATATTGGAATACAATATGAATGTTGCACAATGTATACATACAAATGAAGGGAAAAGGTTTGATGGATGCAAACAGCTTGGTTGGAATAATAGTCTTTTGTAGAGAGGTAAGCTGATGGATTTACATTAATAAAGAATGAGGCCATGGTGTTGACCCTCCTAAAAGAAGACACGAGATTGGTTCTATGAAATGGCATTAACCAACATGCAAAATATAACGACCCTCTTATAAAGCAAATGCCACCAACGAAGAAATTGACATGGTGTTACAGGTTAAACTTAGTAGCCCAAATATCTTTACTACATGAAAAATGAATGATTGAATGGACATGTTACTACCCTAGTGATAACTAATTATTGATATACTACTAATTTTATTGAATGTACGGTTCAAACGAAGGCAATGAGTAATGGAAACAGAGAGGTGAAGTAATAAGTACAGAAATAGTTTCAATGAACGTGAGATGAACATGATTGAATACCAATTCTTTACTTGAATAAATTAATTGAAATCATGTCAATGTTATATTAAGCATCATTGATCTATGACTTGACTTGCATAAGTCACCCTTCATCCAACACTTTAGTTCATGCATTCATTCAACTTTAATAGCAAATAACAGATAAACAATAAGCAATTAAATCAAGAATTGAGTTTAGATGAGAAACAGAAGTCAAAGGATAAATACTAAGCTCTTTAGCAATCATGATTAAATAAAACATGAGCAAAATATGTGATAATCCTTGAAAAAAGTTCTCTAATTTATTAATCAAATTTAATTATATTTACTCTTCTTAAAGTTTTTTTGTAAGTACTCATATCCAAATAGACCCTAATACTTAGGATTATCACACAATAAAGGCATATACCAATTTCACTTTTCTATTTAGTAAGCATGACCTACTACACATGTGATCTTTTATATTTAAAGATGTGGTTTTCATTAACTATTTTTTTAATGAAATCACAACTTAATTATATTTTTAAGAATCGTACATATATTACAAAAATTATAGTATCATTTTCACAATAAAATCAATATCAGTCCCAACTCCCAAGACAAAGAATTAGTTTTTGTTTACCTCGCATAAGGTGCAACTATTTGTAAGTACCTTCAATAGATGTTACCCATCGACTCTCCAATATAGTTTTTTCTCTCTACCCTTCCATTTTCATCTTAAAAAATTCATTTTGGCCATATAAGTCTGTTTTCATTGGTTTTTTTGTTGCCAAACACTCTGATGCATATAACATAATCAATTTTGGTAACAATACTATAAAACTTATCATGATGATCTTATTGTCCATTTTGACGCATCTAATGCTTCACAATAGAATGATATGCCAGTAAACTGGCAAATATTGTTCAATGAGAAAACACACAAACCTTTCCAACAAATATGATTCATAGGCAGCAACAAAAATACTATTTTTGTTGAGCATGTTTGTGGTAAAAGTCAAAATGATGCTTATTTTATTGGAAAAGAAAAGAATTCCACGAGTCAAATTAAACATGCCGTGCTACGCTATATTATATAATACCCTCTAGCCACTTTCCCATTCCGCCACCTAACTTTCTCTTGAAAGTTATCTTCTCAACTATATCAATATAACATATCCAAGTTACTTAAATCTATCACATCCAATTTGATACAACAAAAATTGTGATTAACAATTATCACTTTCCATCCATTAAAATTGAATATAGTACTCAAGTGTTTAAAATAAACACTAAAACCTTGTCATATAAAAAGGATCTTTATTTTTCCAACATTTCACTTAAAAAGAAATCCCAACAGCTATATCTATCTTATCAACAAATAGAATACAGCAAAATGCCTCATAATTTCTAACCATCTTCATAATCAGCACAATTTAAAAACACATTAATGTTAATTCAAATTACAACCTCCATATGATAGGAAATTCCTAGTCACTTTACAACTATTTATGATGCCAATCACTAGTTCATCATGCTTGTTTTAGCAACATCAACAATGCTTTTCATTGACTTGCTATTCTAATATGCAAACTAATAATGTCGTCACATTTTCTCCATACTGCTCATCTAATCAAATCTCGTAGCAATAAATAACATGTCATTCCAAGATTAACAAGATCCATACGGTATTCTTTGATTGCTCATAATTTTTTATAGAACCATGTAATCTTTTGTCCCTTATAGCATGATCTTCTCATAACTTATTGTATAAACCATAATTAAATTCCCATATAATTATCAAAATACAACCTTCCCATTTGTTCTTGAAAGACTACTATGAAAAAAAAAAAAAAACTCCAATGACTGCATCTCTTGGTACTCAGAACTTCATTAAGGAAAATTGTAACCACACTAATCGAATAATAGTACAAATAAAAAAAATCATTAATCATAATATAAGATAAGAGATAACAGTATGTAATATGAAAATTGTGTAACAACATATACCAGAAAATATGAAAACAAGAGCTAAAAAGAAGATGATGAATAAGGAAAAATGAAAAGGTTCCAAAGGTGAAAAATCAATAAGAAGATCAAAATAATTAGCTGATAGAACATACTAAAACATAATGAATAAAGAAAAAGAATGAAGTTTATCAGGTAAAATGATGATAGTATAATAAACATTCACATAACTTGACACAAGGTGTCATAAAAGAAGTAAAATAACAAGAAAAAAAAATAGCAAACTCCCTTAGAACAAAAATGATCTCTACAAAGGTGTTGTTATGTAAGCATTTGAATTCCCAAACCATGCTACGTATCATCGTGTTTAAAATGTATTAGACAAGAGGGATCAATGCACTTATATGGAGCTCTATTTGACACAGTGCATCAAACACTAGGCAAAGGCATTGTCCTCAATAAGCATGTGTTGATTGTATGCATATCATTCCAAAGAAAACTTGGTCAACACAATGTTGTGAAGTAAATCCATTTCAAGGAGAAGGATCATACCTAAGAAACATTTACTTCATATAAGACCAATCATACAGATGGAATAAAACACAAGTTACTATGTTTATTTTAAAAATATATTTGGTGGGTTTCAGATCTACAATTTTAATTCCAGAAGTTCACATTGGGATGCTTCGTAGTTCAATTTCAGCCTGCATTCCTTGTGCAAAAGGAGAAAAAGCTACAGGATTTAGCTTTCCTAAAACCAACATAATTTTGATGGTATTGGAACCATTTACAGGCATTGTTGGCTCCGTTGCCACGGTACTAATAAGGAATGCAAATGTAACAATGAAATATTCAATTATACAAAAGAATAGCATAACAATAAGAAAGAAAATTTTCCGACATCTATCAATTTAGTTCAAGAATATTCTTTTGTAAAAAAGCACGATGGGTAAAGTAGAATCCATTGATTCAGGATCATCAAGAGTGGTAGAAAAGACAAAATAATTCAGAGACGAGTGGCCTTTTAACTGAATGTAAAGCAAAATTAACAAGACAGGTCTCGAAGGAATCAAAAAGCCAATCAAAGATCCACTAGGAATAATAAATACTCACCCTTGCTGGCGCTGATGAGAAAAAAGCCGTCCGCGGTTATAGGACTGTAGAACAAGTCAACAACTGGGCGCGAGTGCCCATGGCAGACTAAAGGAACCGCTATCTTCTTCTTGTCCATTTCTTCACTGACAAAAGCAACGCCACAAAAAACCCTAACCCTAAAACGCTCTCTCAACCCGTAAAGAAGAAAATGCAAAATGAATCAGAGATCAATAAACCTTACCCCTGGCCCCAAAACAATCACCCCCAGCACCAAAACAATAAAGCAACCAAGCGAAGCCGAGATCAAACAAAAGAAAAGGAGTAGCAATGCAAGATTAGACTTTTACACGATCCCAACGCAATATTGACCACCTTACATCAACAAAGACGATGGAAAATCCAATCTAATTGCCGCTGATCAATCTATAATTTATATACAACGAATCGACAACTGAGAAGAAGCTAACAAGAAAATAACATGAAAGAAGGAAGTGTGAACTGTGGCCAATGACTTCATCGGACGGTAAGCGTGAAGTTTGGAATTTTTGGGCAACAAGCAACAAGCTCGTGAGCTCGTAGGACTTGGCTTTATACTCATTAGGTTAATTTGAAATTAAGAGTAACATAGATTAATTACATAGCTCATTTTAACATGTTGGTTGAGAGCTTAGACTTCTAATTAAGAGTTATTGAATTGGAGTCTTTGTATATATGTTGGGTGTATGAATTTGACTTAAATAGCATAAATGTACTAAAAAACATATAATTAATTATTTAGTTTTATATCTATTTTTTCTTAAAATAAATCAATTGCTATAAACTCATATTGATTAAATTTAAATTTAAATATTTTAATTTTGATTTTCATAAAAAAAATAATTTATACATATCAATATTATTGAATCAATGTTGTGTGATTATTTAAAGAATTTTTAAAAAAATGGAATTGAAATTAACAATTTTTTTAGTTGAAATTGGTATTTGTCAATTTATTTGGTTGAGTAAAATTTAGTTGAAAATAAATTTATTTGGTTATTTAATTGATAAAAACTTGTATGTGCTATGAATCAAGATAGGGACATAAAGTGCAAGGAGAACCTCGCTGGCCTTCCACTCGGCCACATCAACAATCTAGCACGGGGATTATGTGTAAAAAGTCAATCAAGAAGCTTGTTAGGAACTTAATGATTTCATAACAACATTTATATTCTTTAATTAGTTATATCATTAGAATGATAAATAAGAAAATTGGGATATGTGCTTAGACCACTCTCTCTAATATTTTTTTAATCTATGTTCTTTACCTCTATCTCTCTAATATATTATTGGGTTCTTCACTATTGCAAACCTAAAGCAAAAGTTAAGCTATAGGAATTGATATCTTAACATAATTTGATGATATCATTCTTGTATTCCACTTTTTGTTTGTTTAATGATTTATTGGAAAGCACCATCACAATAGAAATACTACTCATCTTTTTTGACATCTCCACAATCTTTTGATGCATTTTTAGTACATTAATGGCACACGACACGCATGCTATAGTTTATAAAATCTATGATTATATCACTTACAAGTTATGAAATCATCAAAGGGGTTGATGAGAACTATGTGTGATGCCCCATAATCTAAATTTGAATAATTATTTATTTTATTTAAAAAAATATATTAGTGAAATCGGTTTGTAAAACGGACACCTGACGGTCCCAAAATCCTCACTTGTACCGATAGGTACCAATTTCTTAAGGATTTTTACTGGTGCTTAAAAATTACGAAAAAATTCATGTAAGTAAAATACTACAATCAAAATCCTATAGTGAAGACGGTTTGCAATTTTAAGTTGAAATGACTCTAAAAAAAATTGGCAATTTCAAAATACAGTCTATTACATTATGTTTCAAATAACTAAGTCTTGAAATTTGTATAAAGTAGGTTGTCTACAAATTCTCCTCACCTACAATAGCAAATGGCTCTTTGTCTCTACGGCCAGCTATAACTCCTTAAGATCTAAGGGAGGACTCAAACCTATTTTTTTCCTAAGCATTTATGTATTTCTAAATTCAACATCTCATTTTATCCAAACCAAATAATCGTCCAATATAATATAACACAACTAGATAGAACACACACAAAACATTTCTTCCAAAATATTTAAATAACAATAACTTAGATTACAATGATTTCAATTAAAAAATTAGGGTTCGTGCTCCTTATCAGACTCAATATACTCATCGGGATATTTGTCTTTGCGTGAAATATTTTAAACCATAATGTGAGTATAAAGCTCAGTAGGTCAACCAATTTCCTCCATATCTAAGTTTAATACTTGGCTCAACTCCATTCATTTATATTGTGAACCCCGCATATCACATTCTAATCAATCTCCGATAACAATGCATTTCAATACCATTCTGCATTTCTATCAAAGGTATTGTGTTTAAATATTATGACCAACATTGAGAATGAAAAATAGAATTGCAAAGGATATGCAAGCAAGATGCATCTCATTTATAATTGAGGGTGGTATGAGAAAAATATCATATAATGATGAAACAAAATAAAATTTTAAACTTTTATTTTATTTTTTATTAAAAGGCAACAAAAAAGTCTATTTGAAAATCTTTAAATTAATAAAATTCACATCTCATAATTTATTCAACTATGATATCTACAATAGAATGAATATTAGGATAAAAATTGAATAGGGACATTCTAATCAAATTTTTCGCTTGGATGAGATTCAAAATTTTTAGATCTTCTTTGAGATGAGTGCGACACAAATCATTTATATATTGCACTAATCTCAAAACACATCGAGCTAGGGCTTTAAAATTATCTTAAACCTTAGAATTTTTATATAAGCAGTAATTCTATTTCAATTTATTTGCAGTTGAATAGAAACAAATGAATATTTGTATAAATATGCTTGTGTTCTATATATGTCTGAAAGTTTAAATCTCTGCCCTTTATTTATCTAATTTACTTTCTAAGGAAAGGATTGCAATATAATTGATAAAACAAGAAGAATAATGATATATTTCATTATCTAATTTTCAAAAAGAAAAAAGAAAGTTGAATTTCTTAATTATTATAAAAGAATTATGTGCAAACAAGACAAGTATATTAACTAAATACAAAAGATGGAGAGAATCAAAATCAATGGAATTGATTAATAAAGTACAATATGAATTGTACTATTATAGTTTTATCACAAATTCTATTACATAGATTAGTCATGTTGTGGCATCTTCAGGTTTAGCATTCGGTTGTATCCTTATTGACCTGAAAAAAGATAAAGATTTGAACTTTTAAGTTTTTAAATCGTTTGCATGTCTTTAGTAGTGTTTTGGTGCATGAAAATATTTGTGTGTGGTTTTAGAATGAATCTCAAGTGTTTGTATGAATTTCGACAAAATTCGAAAAAAAAATTACTATTCGAGCTCCTCGGTGTTGAGTGTCTGAGCACCTCAGCGCTATTATAGTACCAAGCATCAAATATTGCCATTTCAGCGTCTATCACTACAGGAAAATCACTTATTACTGACGGAATTTTCCGGCGGTCAGTTTACCGGCGGCTTTCCGGCGGTTCTTGACAGCTTATTTCCTACAAAATTTTCCGGCGGCTTTCCGACGGATTACCGGCGGCTTTCAGACGGCTAATTTCCCGGCAAAATTTTGCGACGGCTAATTTCCCGCAATATTATCCCGCGGAATTTTCCGGCGGCTTTCCGACAGATTACCGGCGGCATTCCGACGGCTAATTTCCCCGCAAAATTTTGCGACGGCTAATTTTCCGCAAAATTTTCCCGTGGAATTTTCCGGCGGCTTTCCGACGGATTACCGGCGGCTTTACTTAACTAGTTTATTTTAATTATCAATTAAAATAAAAATTTTAAATAAATAATGTTTAATTATAATATTCATACTATTTTAATATAAATAAAAAAATACTTACGTTTAACCATTTTGCAGAATCGGCGCATTGGTCAGGCATCGGGGCTGCGGGTGAGGAGGTCTACGGTTCGAATCTCAGCGAAGACAGACGCGGGTGCGAACCGGGCTTTCATTGGTCAGGCACTCGGCCTCGGGCTGGCTCACGCGCGCGAAAAATATTTAGTTGGAGTCATTGATCAATACATGGTTGTTTTATGGTTCTCTCATAACAGTTTTTTTTAATATATTTTTTATTTAATTTTAAATTTTTGATTAGCTTATAAGTAATATTTTCTTTTTAAGAATAAAAAAATACAGCAAAATTTTTTAAAATTTTCAATATTGAAACGAAGGTCGAATGAAAAAAAAAATTGTTAGAATTAAAAAAAAAATTATTTAGGCCCCCCCTATAAAAACTTTCTAGCTCCGCCACTGGTCGCAACCCTAGACATTTTAAGCACTTCAATTACATTTTAAATCCACAGTTCAATTCATTTCACTTGAGCAGCCATCTTTGAAGAGAGAGAAAGATAGAGGTTTGGGGAGGGAAAGCTTCATTTTGAGCCCTTTCGACCATTTTTAGCTGCCGAGCCAGTTGATAAAGTTGTTCGGATCGAAGTTGCTCGCATTATGTCTATCTCAATTTTCAAAAATATACATTTTTTATCAACTTTTTTGTTTAAAATTTTATTTCTGTTACAAAAAAATGGGGATAACTTTGCACTAATAAAACTTTCACCACATAACTTTTTATATATATTATAAAGATTATGAATATTTTGAATATTTCTAAAAAAATTTCCAACAAATATTTTATAATTTATAAAATTTTTATTGAATAGAAAATTATCTAGATGTACAAAAATAATGTTGTAGTATAATTAAAGTCTTAAAATAGTGTTATGCACAATCTTTAGTAATTTGATTATTTATTGAAAATAAATATTTTTGTTTGGTAGAGTTTTTTGTTGCCTATTGTTTTGGATAATTAGGCAATTTTGACACATGTTTAATTTTGCTTTAAATGTTATAATGTGATGAAATAGTGTATATATATGATTGAATTATGACTGCTAGGAAATATAAGAGGCTAGCATTCTTTGAGATTTTATCTCTGTCTGTAAATATTGTGGTATCCATAAGGCATATTATTGTGGCTATGAGTCATGTTGTAGTTCCTACGAATATATTCTAGTGCTATAAGCACAAAATGGAGTCATAAGAGACTAAAATTCTTTGAGAGTTTTTTTAATCAAAATATGTGATATGAACTGCTTTATGATATGAATTTTGATTTATTTATATGCTCATATTGATATTTAAATAATTAGATAACTGCTATGCTCTTATTAAATTTCTCAATACTGTGATTTATTACACAACAATTAATTGCTTTTATATATTCAACAAAAGTATTTAATAAAAAGAACTTGAAATTTTAGATTAGTTTGTGTGGCCTGTTGAGCTGTTGTAGCTCACTGTGATTTTTATTCTAGTTTTTAAGAGCTAGGAAAAAGAATGAGCTTGTTGATTAGCAGTTCAATATCAGATCTTAATTAATTAGAACTTTTTTTGTGCAATCATGACTAGTTTATTATTCAGTTATGTAGCTTCTATTTATAGACATGTACTG